TAGTCTAATAACAATTTTAACATTTTAAATTGAATTATCTTTCCTGCAATTGTTTATATTGAAACTTGTAATACTGCCCCCAAGCACGCAAAAATCCATTTCATCTTAAAATATTTCTCACCTTTCATCTTCTGTGCACATCCGCAACTTGGCAAGCCACCAGAATTAATTGAATTATAAAATAAATATAATTTGTCATATCGGCGTACGTTTAGTGTTAATACTGACACTAGTTACTGGCTAAAGCTGTCTGTCACTCTTGCACCGTCTAAATAATATGCGTATTATAAACAAATTCATAAATAATCAAACAGATAACACAGGTAATACGTGTTTTAGTGAACTTTAAGTAACCACAAAGATTAATAACAGTTATTTAAATAACGTAGTGAACTTAAAGAGCAGATATATAAATTCAAATGCAGCAGTTAAGAGAAAACTGATACCAAAGGTCCCCACTTCTGTCTAACGGTAGAGATGCTTCAGGAGATTGACCTTAGCGCGCCTCCAGACATCATGAATCTCCTCATGCTAGCCATTAGCTCTTCTACGATTTGTTCCACAATCCACGCTCTTGTGACGAGGACAGTACAGTATTTGCCTGGAGACCTGATACGCTCGCCACCTCGCCAGTAACATGAGAAGTGCCGCCATTTAATTTGCTGTCTTGACAGGTTCTGTTTCTCCCTGTGATTTATTCTCCTTTGTTTTGTCTCCGGGTTTGCTTAAATTGCCGGCTCTATTCTGCCTGTGTTCGTGTTGTGCGACTCTACCAATTTATGGCAATGTGCTGCGTATAAATATGGAATACCCGACTATTCTCGATGGAGTGTGGCTGTAGAATATGTTATCTGAAGTTATTATATCACTGCAGCTGTATTATTGTGAGACGAGAGATTCACCAACTTAAATGAAAGGCATCTTGCATAGTTTGTAAATGCATTTGAAACAGGGAAGATACATTGGTGACTCAACAGAGCATTAAATATTCCTCTGTAGGGTCTAAATAAAATCGTTTATACAATTGATTGGAGCATTAATATATTATAACATTAATATATTGTCGGAATGAATAAATATCACAATAATACAATACAAGCTGCTATACCCGTGCTTTGCAACGGGAAGAAAATGTGATCTAGAGAGCTATTAAAGTAATCCTGATGTGTGTTTTAAAATACGGCAACTTTATGATTTAGTTTGAAAATATAAACTCTGATTTAAAAGTGTAAACCTGCTTACTTTCAAACCCCTACTTTTTATGTTAATAGATCCAAAAGAATATGACAACATACCTTAGTGTAGCAATAACATAAATTGCTTCATATTGATGCTTCACGAATGACATGTTTTACTTCAACTTTAGTCATGCCTCTTTACATTTAGCTTACTATATAAATTACAAAATGAAACTTTGCGCAATTCTATACAAAACGTATACAAACTTTCTTTAAAACCAAACATAACCCTCCTAAATCTACATAAAGCTTCACAAACATCTTTTTCGAGTAAATAAACAAACACCATTATTCTGTACCTTGAATGGTAAAAATATAAAATAACAAATCCTCAATGAACGACTGATTCTATGAAAACGTAATTACACTCAATTACGGGCATGATATGCTCCAGTGCATACATGTACATAATAAAGTGATTTATGTGTTAAGCGAAGAATTGTTGTGGAGGTAATATAATGATTCCCCGCATGTCCGTGCGCTGGCTGTAGTGTTGGGAAGGCCATGACCATGCCACCAAGGGTGTCCCACAATTCGTCTGCAATATTACACTATCCTCACACGTCATCACGACTGGCCTCTCCACTCCGTTTCATTACATTTCCACGTTTATTTAATTCCCACTACTAATTATGAACTGTTGGACCTTGGCTCGAAGTTAATAGGTGTTATGAGTCAAGGAATTCTCGTTCATAATTATTCATCGTTCTTTCTTTCTGTCCCTCCTTGTTGCTGTTTGTTTGAAGTCAATATATGAATATACGTTTACAAATTACAAGCACCTTGTTTGCCATCGCCGTAGTACACAAACTCTTTACTTATAAGTAGGTTAGCTGCAAAGTAAGGCTATGCTAGAGTCAGGATCCGCATCGTTTAAGTTTAGATTACAACTAAAAATCGTGATATTTCAGCTTGGTTACTTATTATTTGATATTTTGTTACTTGGTGTCGTTTGATAGGAAATCCTGAATTCTAAATAAAAGTGTTCTTGACATGTTTTCATAAAATCAGCCATTTATTCGTATTTTGAGTTTTAAAAATAAAAAGCAACCATTTTTAAATTTAAAATTGAACCAAGTTAATGTTTTCCAATATAGGTATATTATACATTTCAAGTTTCATAAAGATCGCATTAAAGATTCTATGATAAAAATGTTTATGTGAAAAATACAAAATGGCGGATATCTGGTTAACGAAGCATTAATAAAAAAAACACTCATTTTTATTTCCTCTTTATTTTGGTCCATAGAACCATTTTCCGGGGTTATATCTACGGGACACCCTGTAAAGTTAGTTAACTGTAATCGATTACTGCAGTTTGTCTCAATCCTGTTTAGAGCTCATAACGTGTTCGGTTAGATTGAGTTATTACAGTTTAGCCATGTTCCGCAAGCCACTTACGGATACTGTATCTAGGTCCCGTTTTCCACGGAGTCCAACCTCGATTGAGTCATTATCAGCTGTTGTAGGCCTACGAGTCTTCCAATCGCTATTATCAACATTTAGGCACTAAACTATTTACACCGATCCGCTTTAAAGTCTCTGGCTTAAATTGTCTATAAATTGCAGACTGGTTGTTGCCTCGCTAGACGCTAGGTGCTGATATAAATCCACCATAATCCCTATACTAGTTTTGCAATTACAGTAGCAACTCCAGAATCAAAGGTCAAAAGGTGGGGTTTTTGAGATCAAGGTAAAATGCAGGTAAAGTACTTCCAATTCTGATTAAACGTTTTTAAGACTTTTTGTGCGATTAACTCTTCCAATTAATTAAGTTTTCAACTGCGACATACAAATTACCATGTTGCCACACTGTTTCCTAAAACACACGATTTCTGGGCGTCGTGCTGGACATCGTCACATGTGTGGCATTGTGACACTGACACTCACCCATTGACACAGTTGGTCGTCATGGACATGTAGACATGTAACGGTGCTCAACATACGGGTGTAGGTCTACAATGCACGCGTTTCCGTGTGAACTTCTGACTGTTCTCAGGAATGAAAGTGCCGAGGCCGCTAATGAGGCAAGTGGCAGGTTGTTTCGAGCTCGCAAATTTCGGACCGCAGTCGTAAATTTAATTGCAGGCAGGAAGTGTAATCAAAATTCTACAGTCTCCTTATCATTTCGAAAGAAGTAACTGGCTATTTTAAAGATTTTCGCTCATAGATCAAGCAGATTTTCGTCTGGAAACAAATTTTGTTAGTTCGAAGAATTACATTGGTTAGAAATTAATATGGCAATTTAGCTCCACAAGTTTTCTGTTATCAGTCCATAGAATATCTTCGCCTGACTTGAGACTTCAACGCCCACCACTGGCAAGGCGAATGACCAGAGGAGGGCTTAGTCTAGTTCATGAGTTTGCAGATGTTTATTTCCCTAACCAATAACCAAGATACAATGTATGTCTACCACAACGAGGTGCGGCGTTTGCAAAGTTTCGCCAGGCACGCGACACGCAACACCACAGAAAGGCCAAGGTTCGACTTTCTCATGGCGTCAACTCACCATATGGCGACCTCCATTGCGTAAACCTTTGCGTAACTCGCCGAGCCGCAGTCTGAACTGAACGTGAATGGGCACACATCATCTTTGCTCTAGTTCCTCCCCCGTATTATTTCAACTGCCATGAATCATCCGGGTACAAATGGATTGATGATGTTCGTATATACAATGTAAAAAGCCTTCAGAAAATCGTTTAATGTACTTGAGATCCTCGAATAAACGTGAGTAATTATTTAATTAGTATGTCAACAATTTTATACGCCTAACAGACACAATCTGAGTCACCTTCTGGAGAAATATTTAATCATTCCAGTACACCATCAAAGGAAACAGTGATGCACTTCCTCAATTGTAACAAAAATATTTTAGATGGTCCAGGCCAGACTGAAAGTACTGAGTGCATTCACTAGCATGATCTGTCCGTCAACTCCTCAAGGTATGCGGAGGAAAGTAGGCTGCATTATGTATGCAGACGGCATGCGTACTCATGCATCTTTTGTCTCAGGCTCCAACACATTTTACATTGTTTCACTTTTACCCATCTCAAACTCACACAACACCTTCGGAAGACACATTTATTTAATTAGACGTTTGTAATCAATTGTTTTGACAAAGAAGGTGTGTACGTTTGTTGAGCGCAAAAGTAATGCCCTAAAGATGTTTTAAAACTTGTTTAATGGCCAACGCTGTCTGACAGTAAGGACTCTTCTACTGATCAAGAACATGTGTTTTGCGTACCACCATAGATATCGAGACAGTAGAGGTTATACACGTGTGACGGCGCAGTCTCGACGCGAACACACGTCCCGCGGCCGCAGATTGTAGGCCTACTGCTCCTTAATTAAGTGTCGCATCACGAATGTTCGATGACATCGCCATATCTATTAAGGTCCTTTGTCTAGGAAGTGCTCACGTTACACCGTCACGAGCAAGCCGCCCGCGCCTCAGCAAGGGCAATGTCCTTCGGGTGACCTCAACAGGCGTTGACCTTAAATAATTGTCTCGACTATTGTCTATGATGACGATTATAACATTGCTAGGGTACATTAAAATATAGAAGACCGTTAATGTGCGTCGTATTACATCTTCATAGGCGTTTGACGTTAGAGGCAACGTCGTATTCTTTCTCTCAATGTCCCTCATTTTTTTGCACCCTCTTTGGAATGCATTAACGTATAGACCCTATTTGTTTACTCCACATTTCTTTTGCAGAATTTTTTAATTATTTCTAATCGCTTATTTTATTTCTGTTTCAGGTACATGCACAAGGTGGTATAGGTTTTGGAATTAGGAAAGAAATATTCTTTTTAAATTTAGAAGATGGTTACTTCGGATGCCAAGTGAATGAGTCTACGGATGTCCTGCAGCTGTACGAGATCTCGAGGATATGTGATGGGACTCCGGACTGCTACAGGGGATCCGACGAGCTACGGAGGGAACTCAAATGCACGAGTGAGTACTCATAGCAAGGCTCATAGCTGATTGGTGGGTTGATTTTATTTTAGGTAAATCTGGTTTGAATATTTTTTACCGAGGACATTCTTATTTGAACAATTAAAAAAAAACCTAGTTGAATATAAAGAGGGGATAGGAATAAGTAGGGGAATAAACCGTAAAAAAAAAACAGAAAATACGGAAACTTCAGGTAGATTTCATTATTGTTTAATCTACATGTTGAGCACATATTTCTGCCGTCTAAGGAAAAATTTAATCCCACGGTTATCTACAGTATGGAGTAGTAGTATAGCAAAGAAAGTACATTTAATATTTAGATAACAGGAAAATACTTCCAGGGACGCGACCACTAAGATGTTTTAATATATCACTGATGTTAACGGCTATCGTCGGCAACCTTTTCTATTACCTATACATGTATTATAATGTAATAGGTTCCAAGGCTTACTAAATAAATGTAAAATAAATCGCTCCAACAATATAAAATGTATATTACACAAATTTTCACAATTTATTTTGGGACGGGGAGGGAATAAGAAATAGGTACAGTAAAAAGTAGTTTGAACTAATTATCATAAGATAAATATAAATGTGTTGTAAGTACCTTATTTCTGCTCCAATGGTATATTTCTTTAGATCCTACCCTTTTCCAAAAATACACCACTTCAATTACCAAATCTAATGAAAACCTTTGTAGAAACAGTTTTTTAGTTTAGAACTTACTGGAATTGCGAAGCAGCATGACCTTGTCTCCAGACTCCAGCCTAATAGGTTCCTTGATTTTTCGCAGAAAATTACAATTGTTTTTCTCTCTAAATAGGTGGGGGCTCAGAGACTTCTGTAAAGTGTAATAAACTTGCTTTGGTGTTTTTGGAAAGAATAATAAGATACTTTGATTGGACCTCATAAAACACCAGAATATTACTGGGACCATTGTTATATTTTTATTTTTTTATTACTAAGTACAGTATTACAACTAGTTTTATCATCCTACCATGGATCGAATAATGTCTTATGGTACGTTTAGAATGGCATCTTATTCCATCGCTTCAACTTCTGTCAAATCATTTGATGGAATCTTCAAATGCAAATTGACTCATCATGTACCTAATCATTTTCGTAACGGTGGGATCTAAACCTAAAGTCGTCTAACCTGAATTGGAACCTATACATTAGCTGCATTAAGATTTTTGCCATTAGTACCCGTTTAACTGGAAACTTGGACAGTTCCACGATGATAGGAATGTATGCAAGAATCATGAGCATCCCTTAAGAGTTAAAACTTGATCGTCAATCTGCTGCGGTAATAAGCTCTTTGCCTCAAGCTCGTGTCGATGAACTGTTCACTTGTCTAGCTTCTTTTCGTTTAGCGGTAAACTATTTATAATGCAAACTAGCATGATAAAAGTCAAATGTACATTGACGATGGCACGTTTCGTGTACAGAAATTTTGGGCTCGAAATGACGTATTTTTTTAGGATATCTAACTTCATCTTAAGGGATAATCAATTTATTCCAGTAATAATATTATACCGGATGTCAGTGACACGCTGATTAATTTTTGTATCTTTCGACGTTTGTGTCAGCGGGGGGCCAAATTAGCAACGTTTTTCAAATTTCACGTCATTGAAATAAATCATCCAGAACTACCTTGATTCAGTCATAAATGAGGGTGACTTCTCAACACAAATCCTACATTTTGTTTCAATAAATCTTGGTTAGAGTATGTGTATCTAAAACTTTCTAATGCAAGATCCATTATATATTGTATATAGATTAGTAGAATAATCGTTGATATATTGTATAGTTAAATTGGAGTGCCTGCCTTTTCATGATAAACAACAAACTGTTGGCATAGAATCTTAGATAAAAAATAAAACTTTAAAATTTGAGTAACATAATACTTTGACATTATTCTTATATATTTCTCGCGCAGGGAATTCCTCACACAAATTGCACATTTTTGGTCACAAGGTAGGGTTTTCATTATAATTATTTTAAAAAGTCAATCAGGGAATTATGCGAAACTGAGGGTTGACTTTCAATATAGAGTTATAACTTTCTTATGCAAGACGTTCCTCCTACCAATTAAATATTTCTGTCACTCGGCAGTGTTTGTTCATTATACATATTTCAAGAGTCTTGGGCCACTGCGACAGACAGGAAACAGAAAGTGACTCAGACGAAGGAAGCTGCGGAGACGTTGACTGAATAACTAATCCCCATCCGCAGCCGCAGCCGCAGTTAACGGACATCATTTCACTATTGTTCTCTAAGCAGAGACCGAACCAAATCCCTTCTCTCCTACTCTCGCTCTCCTCTGCTCTTACTCTCGAAACAGTTATGCAAATGAGAGAAGTTCCCTCCGATATTTGAAGAACGTTTGTGTTGACATTCTGTCCCACATACCACAATATACTATAGTGTTTGCGGTTGGTAGGCCTGATCTTAAGTGCGAATGTGACTATAGTGCACCATCCTTCTTTCAACTCAGATTAGTGTTTTACCATTCATATATGTAGTCTTACATATGCAATTATATCCTTTGAAAATTGATAACACTTATATTGCTTCTCTTAAGCACATTTACTTAATATTTTCAAATATTTTTGCAGTTGTACTTGTCCTATATTAAACTCTTGCTAAAATTACTACAACTATTTTTACTGCGGAACCTAAAACATTTTTAACATGTCAACATTTAATAATACTGCATTTTTTGCAATAACTGTAGTGATAATATAACTACATTGATACGGTAGTTAACACTATTCACTTAGTTGATGGATTGGAGTCCACCCAGTAGTTGGCCAATAGGAGGGTGAGATGCGAAAACATGTTTACAACCAACTTTCACCCTCGACTCTTACACTTGAGGCGAATCCACCAAAACAAGGATAAAAGACGGATCTATAGTTAGTCGTGTACTATTGTAAACGCTCGTCTTTTGCTGTTTGATACGATTATAGTTAGTTAAATTTAAAAAATCTTGTAGCTTCTCGATGGTTCAAAGGTTAACAGGTATTGACAATTATAAAACAGAAATAATCCCTTGTGCTATTTAAATTAGGCTGCAAAAGTTGTTTCAATTCGCAACAGAAACCAAGTGTATTTACGGTAAAGGCATATCTAATTAAATCGCCGAAGGTTTTTGCTAGCGGAACAAACTCGCTGGTGGCGAATCAAACGTCTCGATATGTTTCCGCAAATTCGCTGAGTTTTCTTTAATTCTTTTGGCGTCGTAACTGTGTTTATTTTTAATTTGTTACGCTGGCCAACTGTTTCCTCTCCACTCTCCAGTGGTCAGCGATTGCTACGTTCCCTCGCCCTGTCTGGTCGCCCCACTGAGATTTTGTCATATTTCTTAATATCTAACTAAAATTATCGGAATAGGAAAATAATAAAAACAAAAATGTACAAAACTCAGTTTTAAGATGAAAACTTTCTGACCCGACGATTGTCGACCTATGAGTCTGAATTTTATATTAAGGTTACCATATGAATCAAAATTGGACAAATGTTAAGATAAAGTTGCATTGACGACTCGATTGTTGGCCCACTTTGAGTACTGCTGAGGACCTGATAAATGTCAAAGGGACAAGCATAAGCGTTGTGATTGCTGATTTCACAACATGTTCAAGTATACTCTAAGTACGCAAAAAGGCTTATTTATAATTTGATGGTCGTTCATAACTCAAGAGTGGTTAAAAAATCAATCAACATTTTCAAACAATTCTCAATATTTTTGTATCCAACATACTTCTAAACACCCAGATTTTTTTTATTTACTCTTAGTATAAATGTATAACAATCTCTAGTTCAGGTATTACAAAGTTTCCTTCGACAGACAACTGTTTAAAACAACCAAAAAATCAGTGTGTATCACAAATTCTGCAAAATAAAACCCCTCCGATATGCTGGATTTGGCCTGAAATGAAAATTCTGCTGACCATTACAAATCTAACAGAATCATGAGTGATTTCCGGAAGTATAACGTAACCTCGACCTTCCGGTGCATAGAGTATAATCTGTTGCAACTGCAGTCGGTGCAGCGTGACTACTGTGTGAAGGTCGTTGATTGTGCGCCCAGGAAATTACTTTACACGCCAATCCTAGCTCGTGTCGTGTCACTCGCTCAATTACCTCATGGAGATGAGTCTAGTTAAAATGCAACAGGATTGCTTCTAAAGGAAAGCAATTGACTCATCGCGTTGCACAATTGTTATGCCACCGGGTGCATGCAGATGAAACATGCAGTATAACAATCAAAGCTACTCCATTGTAAGTATGTATTTCAAGCGTGTCATGTCGGAACTTTCTCTAAAGCATTTTTAGTTAGCATTTTTTTGCACTTTAGTTCTCACTTACTTGGTATACACCAACAGTTTAAATTTTGCTGCGTGCATTTGATTTGTCACAAAATGTAGTCAGAACGCAATGAAAAGTTGCAAAAATGAAACTTAGGTTTTAACAGAATACCACGAAACCCATCTCGGCAGTACAGTTCAAACTATGTAGAGTATAACTTGTTCATGAAAAGAAGCGAGCGAGAGCCCTGTTGAATAAGAAAACGGCAGATGTTATCATAGCAACACAAAAAGGGAAAGTCAATGGAGCGACGGGAGAGCGACAACAGGTGCTTCAAGGGGAAGAGGAGAGGTCATATGCATAGCACACGTCCTCGATAAGAAAAAAACTAGGACATCGAGTGTGCTGTAAAAACTGATCCTTTGTCAAACGCAGGCGCCCTTGTCAAAACATCTCGGCCGCCACAAGTCATTCACATTTGATTTGATACACACGCGTTCTTCGGATTTGGGGCATCTGTCTACCGTAGTGGGTTTTGCGGACTGGAGTTGATAGAAATATTTGCATCAAAGTGTTCAAAGTAAAAATATAAATAGCATACAGTATAATCAATTTCTGTATATTGTGATGCAAGTAGAGGAAGCATTTAAAGTATCATCATTTGTGTATGCTCCCATCTCATCACAGATCAGTCAGTAAATTGTATGAAGACTAACACAAAGAGAGCTTGCATCAAACTGCTGGAAATGCTAAGAAAGTATACCTATATCAATTTGGATATTTTTAACTACTAACAAAATGCGGGAAATCTTTGTTTGCGAGAGGTTATTTCAGTTGAATAGGGTTTTTTCAACTCAAAAGCATAGTAATCTGTTAATGTGTACATTTTTCTTAAACGACAACGCAATATAGTTAAAATATAAACACTCTCGTTCATTTTATTTATCTTAGCTTGAGTAATGAGTCAGTACAAGTTTGGACATTCAGTACTAAAGTATCTTAATTGCTTAAAGTAAAGATATTTCTTCATTCACGTTATGTTACAAAATATCCTACATACAACTGTTTGTGATAGGAAATTCTTCCCAAATTTAGTTTTAGCGAAATTCGACATGGGGAAGAAGCTATTACTGTAATCGGCACAGAAAGACCTAGACCCAGGACAGATTTCCTAATTTTTATGTCCCCAGAGGCAAAAGCACGATTCGTTTAAATTGTTTACGTGTATTTATAAGTGTGTCTGTCAACACGATAACTCTAGTAATTTTAGACCGATTCTGATAAAAAACGTTATGTATTGGCAAGCGCTAGATTATACTTAGATTAACTTGAACAAGTTCGCGAACCAGCAACCTCTGGTCATGGGAAGTTGGTTTAATGGGGTTTAGAAGTTTTTTTTTAAATGTCCAACTTTCATTGCAACCATAGCGTAAAGCTTAATTTTACTAACTGAAGCATTGATGTACAACTAAAGGTTACAGAAAAAAATAAAAATTAACTGAAAACATCCTCAAGTTATTCTTATGGAGAAAGAAAAACTATTGTAGTTTGCTTGTTTATGGATATATTTTGATCACATTTGAAATTTTTTTTATCCTATGCCATTAACATTGTATGTAAAAAAAGTTCACCTTTTACCTTCCTTATAGCAGCAAACCTACGGACTCATTAAATCGTTATTAAGGGGGATGAATATGATTTGTTTATGGATGTATTTAACTTAAAATCCAATCAGACGAATTTAAATTAGTTTATTCTGCAGGTTTGCTGCGACGTGAGAATTTGCTTTTAGACACTTGTCGGTCAATGATTGCATTACCTCTGAGATACTGTATATTTGCATGTAGCTAAAGAATTATACTTCTTTCTGTCTCAGTTTCATTTCTGTAAAAAGGGATTCAGCACTCAAATAAATCAATAATGAAACTTCTACTGATATGATCATTATAAGCATTAAATAACAGTAATAACGTAATCTAGTGAGTCACAGCATGTTCAGTATCCTTGAACCCCTTGTCAGCTGTTCCGCCGCCGGAACCACAAAGGCTGATGTGCGAGTGTCATGACCACCATGAAGCACAAGACCCTGACCGCGACCTTTCACAACCTCTCTGTCACTCCACCATCGTCTGCATTGGCGGTAAAGGGGTGGAACCTTGACAAGAGTGCGTTCTTACACTTACAGACGAGATGGCGCTCGCATGCACTACGTGGTGATCCCGTATCGCCTTCATTCAACTCTTACTGTCACCAACAGAGTTTTTTAGAACTTTTGTGGACAAATTCTAATCCCTGATTGGCCATTCTTAAAATAAGAGATTAAGTATGTCTTGTTAAATAAGCACGGTTAAAGGTCGAAGCGTTCTTTTACTCTGTATTTTGTTTGTTTGTAAACTTGTACTTTCTACGGTTGCTAGATTGTCCAGAGGCGTGTCCCACAGCACAGCAAGGTCGTAGAACCTCCGTGTCCACGGTAGCTTCATGCCTAGACACGGGCCCAGTGGACCGTAGCCTATCACACCACACTCATGCTTGTCCGGTTTAATTGGATCGGTCCAGCAGAATACCAACGGAGATAGACGCAGTCCTGACCAATTAGTACCGCTGGAGGTTCAACGGCCCCCGGTGCTCTCTAATTGACACTGGACCCTTACGATCCACCTTTACCCCGCCATCGTCATCGCGAATAACCAGTCATTCCCTGGACAATGGCCCCGGGTGTACAATCTTATCTACTTCGGCGCTCAATGTTGCGACCATGACTGTAGACATAGACTCCTATCATATAGGACTCAATGGTTAGGACCCTTTCTGTGCTTTGTGTTATGCTTTACTGATTAGAAGTTGAAACATTTGTATGTCCATGTATTGGTAACTCAATATTATACGATAACGTGGCTTGTGTGTGACAAGATTTTTACAAATGTAAAAATATAGGCTTTTTCGCGCTATTTCAATGTTTATACCGTAATGCAGTTTGTTGTTGGGAGTTTCTCCTCAAATAGGCACACGGTTAACGATCCAAAGAAAGCACAGTATGAACGGGAATTAGCGGTCGTATGACTAGGAGATGGAGATTTGCAAGTGGGATTTAGGTGAATTCTGGGTTAGAGGTGTTTCCGCGCAATCGCAAGTTGAGAGGAAATTCCATTTCTACATCGTGTCTATCCTAGTCCTGATGTGTGTCTTGATATCCATGCTTGAACCCGTTATAAACGCCGGTTAGACCACGCCTTTACATTTTTATTTTGGAAAATTTAAAAATGTTCAAACGTTATATTTCTGAATGATCCACTAAATTGAAGAAACACGATACTATACCCTTTCAATAGAGATATCATTTCATGATTATCTGAAATCTGTTGAGTAAATTTAACTGATTTAGGAAGGGTTTAGTGGGATCAGAAAACGCAATATGTTGTTTGTCATTTATAACACAATTGCACATATTTATACGCAAAAAACTTTCGGTATTCACATAATGCTTGGATTATATTATATTCTTTTTAAATTAATTAGACTATAAACAGCTTATTTTGTACAGGAAATATTCACTAAAAATTTACCGTTTTCCAAAAATTGAACTGTCAATTCTTTCGCATAAATGACTTGTCATTTTTAAAATGTCCTACTGGCAGAAAGCATTTTAGTTTTCCAAAATTTCTTAATCATGGTCATAGTTACTTTGAGCTCTAATTTCATCCCGACTACCAAGAATGAGGAAATGCTGTAATTCACGCTAGATAATGAAATGCGCATGAGTCGGAACCGTTATGACTGTGGAGTCACTAACCCTGCGTAATCGGTGCCGCTGCCACATTTTGACAACGCCGTAAAAATGAGCAGCTGGTGCTCGCATGGGAACCCGCTTTTCCGCTTATGAACCCTGGAGCTTTGTACATTGTACCTCACAGTAGTTGTTGATATCATATCAGAAAAAAATGGTATCCTTACTATAAAGTTCTTGTTTTCCAGTATTATATGTATTAAAGTAATAAATAAAGCACAACTGAGCACCCTAAAATATGTATTAGACATATATAGATGTATCAAACTTAAATCAAAACTCACGTCATAACAGGGTCAGAATCAAACCTCTAAAATGATTACAGTAGTTATTTGCTTAACAATAAAACGTTAAAATTTTTGTCAATTCAGGCGGATTAAGTGAAGGTAGGTCTTTAGGCTTAAGTGAAACCAAAAGGATGAACAACTAGAACGAAATATTATCATCAAGAGCATTCAACCATTGACTATAAATACCATACTATAGTCAATAGTTCACGCACAAACTGCTTACTGTGTTCGCGCAAGGTACTTACTGTTGCTGTATTGACGCGATGTTGTGGAGGCGAGCTCGCGATAAAAACCGTGAGCTAACAGCAGGCTTGAGCTCTTGGGTAAAACCGGTCATGTACACTTCCTGCGAGGTTTCTCACATTACAGAGTACAGTTACATGCCATATTTGGCTAGATTTGTCATGAAATGACATACACTGAGTGAGTGCAAGTTGCATGGACACTAGACACTGAAGAATGCTACATCGCCGCTCGTCTCTGGCCTAATCGCCCTCCCATAGATTACTGGTTTACTCTACCTCAACAAACAATATTACAGTGTTAACTATAAAAATGTAAAACTCATTACACTAATTAACTACCCCAATTAAACACACTTTTTAAAACGATGGGGTCCGTGCAGCTCAAGTTAGTTAAGCTCAATAAGCTCAACAGACATGAAATCTATTAGACTATCCATCCCCATGTTAAAGTTGTAGCCAGATTTTTTTATCAAAATCGTCGTAGTTGTTGTTAGCTACATACAGATTGTGCTGATCTAAATTACTACAAATACACCAACTTGTTTACCAGTTCAAACTTAGGAAAAACTTCAGTATCCAATAGTCAATGCTATAACCCTAGCCAGTCTCTGGCTAGAATTTAAGATTGAACGCTCGTAGAAATGGCTTGTGAACTTAATATCACAATGTCAATTTTGATAATTTGTACTATCAACTGATTATCACAATATAAATAATGTACTAGTGTACGCACTACTCTCGACTCACAAGACTTGAGGACGTTGTACGCATAACCGCACTGTGTACTAAAGAATAATGTTATCTAACTGTAGAATTGGTTTAATTATACTTATGCATTGTTATTTTTCAGATGACTGCCATAAAAAGGATGGGTTAAGATGCCAGAACGGCGCTTGCCTCGACTCCCAGTGCCACTGTAACGACGGATACGGTGGTTGCTCCTGCGAGGTGCCGGGTAAGATCTCAATATGGTGCCTTAAAGCCTTTCATTTTATCATAACATAAAAATATAGATCTAGATAAGTAATACATGTACCATGATAGTATATTTTAGAGCCCAAATACCGTGAAAGTCGGACTTGAAAGTAAGAAAAAAAAAGTTTTAAAATGTATAAGTAAAGATGTAATACACAATTTGGTAGCTATGACCACAAGTGCAACTATAACCTCTTACTAAACATGTTTTGTCCTATAATCAATGTATTTGTGGTTTTTAGACGAAAACGAATGTAAAAATCGACCTTGCGACGTTTTCGCTCATTGCACCAATACGCTAGGCAGCTTCCATTGTACCTGCTTCCCCGGCTACCAGGGGGATGGATTCTACTGTCAAGGTAAGCTACAAGCCTCAAAATGTTGTCATAAAATAAATACTATAACAAATTAGAAATAATAGAGTAAATTTGGTGCGTTAAGTTGGTCTTTTCTTGAAAGGGTCATTTAATTCTGACTAATATTTTTATAATATATCTCTTGATGCCAATAGCCAATTTACATTGGTTCATCCAGACACTCTTGTACTGTACACGATTCAAACTATGCACAGATCTCAGCGTTTTGCAAACACCGATCTTTGTACTAGTAGGCGAGAGTTAAGAACATCGAAGTATATGTTATATATAATTCGATGGTCAAGAAGTCCTCTGAGCCAGAGCGATAAGCAGCAATGTTGGAATGTTGCCGCGCGGTACCTTGCAGGTGCACCACATTCTCTCAGCAAAGGGGAGTGACATTCCACAGAAAGACGCATGTCGAATACTTGTCACAACGACAACAAATGAGTAATACTGTGAATATTGCTTTTAGTTAGCCTATTTCAGTGCACCACAAGTACTCTTACCGTGAGGGTTGTTTTGCAGTTTAGTATTATGGAAGACGTTAGGAAACGTGGGGCATCGATTGTACAACAATCGCAATGCATTGTAGTTTTCTTGTTACCTTACGGTATGAAGGTTTTAGGTAAACAGCATTTTTTATATTATTCAAATAATCGAACACACAATATTGGTGAGTAATTATTACAACTATGCACTTTGGCTATGGAATATACAGAACGTAAATTTTGCACGAACATTAACATTTTTTGTTCTATTAAATTAATATTCAATTTTTAATTTGTTTGACCCAGCCATTTTGACTAACATGTAGCCTATTGTACTTCTACAATATAAATAAATTTGAGTAGGTACTAAAAATAAATTAAAGTCACAGTTGTCTATTTTTGTGTTGATGCTGTGGATGTGAGATGCGAGCCTTTACTGCAGGGTGGAACATGACCTGACCATGCGTCAAGCCGTCAAGTAGCAAGCGCCTGCATTTTTATAATAGGCCAAGACTCAGTCAGGGGACTTCTTAACTCTCGCCTACAGTACTGACACAGAGAGTGGTATTTCTGAGTTGTGTTATTAACTTCGGTGCAACGGAAAACAAGAAACGAAGTGGTTGAAGCCAAAAAATAACCTATAATTCATTCATACTGTTAACATTAGAAACAATACTTTCCTCCTCCGTCCGTCTATATTGATGTACTGCTGAAACTGATACAAGTTATTGTTTTCTTCCATTCATATTCGGACTAGGGAAAGTCAACCTCTCTGTCATGTTAATGAGTCTACCACATTCATCATTAGGCCAAACAAATTACTACTGCATGGCTCATTTCTCCGTGTTCTTTTCTATTGTACATAAAATAACATCATCTCATTATTGTGCGAAGATATTTTAAGTACTGTAAATAACGCTATGGGCATTAGTATTCAATCTGGTGGTCGAGCTATAGCAGTCATGTAAAATGCAAATAGGCTATTAACCAGCAATTTATCTCAGGCTATTTACTTATTTAATCTACAAGTTGTGTGTTGTATTGATAGTCAAAGGTTGTATTTACACAATTATTTCTGACACTGCAGTGAAAGAACTCACAATAGGCCTACTATAATAAATTACCATTTAAAAATTTATGTTAACAAACATTGTATTTATCTTAAACTATTTATTGTAATGCTATAATAATCTTATCAACACAATGCACACGATGCCTTATTCTTCCGGTCCTGACCTACACGACTTCCAAAACAGGAAGAACGGAAGATGGAGACCGGGCGTTGATCCTCAAAGGTTGTTGCCCCTTCAGGTGCTGCTAGATATCCAAGCGTATCTTCTTTCTCAGACCTGTCCTATCCAGGAAGCGGTTTATAATTTGCTGCAAGCCAATCCAATAGAGCGCATTTCATGGGACAGTTGAGAGACTCTACAAATTCTGGGCGTTTCAATTTCGTAGCACATTATAGTATACTAGCTGTTGTACACGTGCTTTGCAACGGGAAGAGAACACGAAATAGAAACATTTTGATCTTTACATCTGTTGATAAAATAGTTACACATAAGCCTTTTAAAAACGTAATTTAACCTTTATGGCCTTTATAAAATAGATGTTGTCATAAATGTAAATAAACGCTATCAGCATTCTGACACATACTTTCTCCCATAAGTTTGTCAACAACCTTTATCATGTGTAAGCGGTGAGAGCAAATATACGGAAATGGGATTTAAACAATTTTGTTCAGAACTTAACAGGAATATAACATGTTAAATTTTTATCAAAATCGTTCGGGCCATTTTCGGGAAAATCCGATTTTTCTGTTATTTAATGAGGGTTTTATGGGAAAATGACATAATTTACAATAACTTTTGAACCGTAATTTTTACAGAAATGGGATTTGTACAAATTTGTTCAGAATTTAAAGGAATATAACATGCTAAATTTTGATCAAAATTGTTCGGGCCATTTTTAGGAAAATCCGATTTTTCTGTTATTTAATGGGGGTTTTATGGGAAAATGACATAATTTACAATAACTTTTGAACCGGAATTTTTACAGAAATGGGATTTGTACCATTTTGTTTAGAATATAAAGGACTATGACATACTAAATTTTTATCAAAATCGTTCGGGCCATTTTCGGGAAAATCCTATTTTTCCGTTTTTTATGGGGTTTATGGGGAAATCTCTATTAAAAATAAAATTTCTTAAAAATAAAAAAAAACTATCAAAATTGTAAGGACTATAACATACTATGTTAAATCAAAACCGTATTTTTTTTCTAAAATCCTATTTTTTGTTATTTTATGGGGGTTTTATGGGAAAATAACATATTTGACCATAACTTTTGAACCGAAATTTTTACAGATATGGGATTTGTGCCATTTTATTCAGAATTTAAAGGGCTACAACATACTAAACTTTCATCAAAATCGTTCGGGCCATTTTTGAGAAAATCCGATTTTTCCGGGTTTTTATGGGAAAATCCCCATTAAAAATCAAAATTTCAAAAAAATGAAAAAAACGCCTGGAGAGACCATAGATTAGAACCTACATACAAAATTTCATCGAAATCGGACCACAGGTGTAGTCTCTAGCTCTGTACACATCCAGACACACAGACACACACACACACACACACACACACACACACACACACACACACACACACACACACACACACACACACACACACACAGACATCACTTCGAAAACCACTTTTTTGGGTCCAGGGGGACCCAAAACGAATATATCCACTCAAAACTCAAACTCGAAAATTTTGACGAAAACAATACTTTCTCCATATACTATGGTATAGGGGGAGAAAGTAATAAAAATTGAAAACCTATTTTTGCGTATTAAAAGTGGAGTCAATTAGCCCAGTAACCAAGTTTTCATATTCTAAAAATACACATATACCATTAGCTGCCTCCAAAAAAGCTATTACAACCCTACTTGCGATGTTGCAACTGAAGGCCGCGGCCAGGTTAAAAGGCGGCCGTGTGTAAATAGACGACATTGCAAATAAAAAAAACATACTGCGACGCTTCATGTTAATAACGATCACAGCGAAATTGTTCAACTTTTTTTCACTGATCAGCTGCATGAGACATGTGACCGTCTTGACTGGTTGTCAAATGTCAAGACAAGACTGACTTGAGACTGCAGACTGTTGAGTTGGTGTTGTCGAGAAGTGGTAAATTCAAATTAAGTTTGTTTGTGTTATTAGTCTACTTTTAAACGTCAGGTTTCAATGAAAAGAAAGAACTATCTGAAGTGATACCATCATTTTAGAGGTTGTTTTTATAGATAGGTAAGTTACTTGAGCAAATAACATCTTATGTTACAGATACAGTACTACCTCAGACATACAACTAGGTATATTGTTGATACTTAAGGCCTAGTCTCTGAGATATTAGGTTAAATATACTGTATTGTTTTTCAGATATTGACGAATGTAAAGATCCTTCAATAGCCGCAAGATGTGTTGAAAATGCCGAGTGTTGTAATTTACCTGCTCATTTCGTTTGTAAGTGTCTACCCGGTTTCGAAGGAGATGGGGAGATTGAGTGCAGAGGTAAGAACCTCATTTTGGCATATTATCTTAGTTAGTCCTAATAAGTTAATTGTGTACATTTCGTGAATTTCCCATAGTACTCATTGTAAGACCTGGACCCGGGACCGATTTACTTTTTCGTTTTGAGGCCCCTAGAGGCAAAAAACACCACCCGTTCAAATTCATATAATTCAAATTCAAATTCGATATATCGAATAATCAATATATATCGATACTTTTCATTTGAATGAGTGTAGGACAGATACTAAAGTGCAGCCTTTTATCATTGTTCAATCAAAAACACAATTGATTTGATGAAAATTAGGAATAACAAATATTAACGAAAACCGTAATTTATGATAAGAAACAAAGACATATAAACTAAAAAACCTACAAACCAGGTTAGTATCGATACTGTAACTGTTGATATAGTAACCACATAGAAATAAAAAATTCATTGTTTTTTCCATTTCTATTCTAAAATATCTAAAAGAAAACCTAGGATAAATACAAAAAGGCTTTGTTAATGTTTTTGTTATTGTTTTTATTTCCCTATGATATGGTAAAATAAAATCCAATGCGATATTGATCCTTTATAATTATTCATCCGATAATAATCGCAGGTTCTCTGCAGAACTGTACTTTAACAAGTGAAAGATTAAACTTAGTCTTAGGGATGTATTTTTAGTCCTCTATCAGTGAACATGCCATGGCGACCTTGGTCAGCAAGGCCTCTTCGGTAACTTAGTGTTCCTACATGATTAAAGGTCGAGCTATGTTTTGACCACACTCATGAGCTCATCACCAAGGTTAACTGGGTTGATGTAGTTTACCAAAATAAATCTGTTTACATTATGATTAGGCTAACCTAAGTTAGTGGTTGGATGATATGAACTCATGGTCAACTAGGCCGGGTAACGGGTTTTTCACATTCTTAAAGAATATAGGCTGCATCATCAGTCGGGCTGAACAATGGATTAGAATCTTAATAAGGCTGTTAGAGTTACAATTAAAGATATTACTTAACCTATTAGGCTAGGTGCTAAATATCGATCACTCCATTTTCTCGCTCATGTCGTTCTCACAAGTGGCAACTTATTTGATATATATTAACGATTCGTACAAATTGGTGGTCTGGTTTTTTTTAAGTAGGCCTATAATTTTACATATTAATGAATACTAGCTAAGCTACACACATAATATAGCCAGTGTTGGGAAGTAGCGCGCTACAAGTAGCGACGCTACAGTAGCGCGCTACTTTTTTTGTAGCGTTAGCTGTAGCTACGCTACTTTTAAGATTTTGTAGCTTTAGCTGTAGCTAGCTACATTTTTAAAGTAGTTGTAGCGGAATTTTAGCTACTTTTCTCGCTACATTAACATTGTTTGAGATAGTGATTTTTATCATAACCTCAACCTTACGTGAATCAACCTCTTTCAATATCAAACTGAGATTTTAAAAAAAAATTAGGCCTACTTTCTTGGCTTCATACAGTGGTGGCAGCCGTTTCATTCCCTATTACAACGTTGTGTGGACATGGAGGCCATTAAATGAGTGTTATCCGAATTTTTGGCACTCATTTCCAATTTACTACTCTATGATTACTGTCAGATAAAATAAAATCGCTAGATGCAGACGACGTTTAAACGTTACCGGTGACAAGAGAAGCTATTGAATCATTGAATGCTTGCAAGTGGTTGGCAGGGAAATTAGTAATCAATTTAGTTTCTTTATTATATCGATAGTGTTTCAAGTTTCAACTTGGGTTTTAATGGACACCAACACTAAACCTTAACTTAATGAGAAAGCTGGTCTATCAACCTTTGATTCAGCTGTTGATTGTGGTTCATCATCACAAGCCCTTCCTTGGTTAGATTACGAATATTTTTCAAATGTTTACTAAATTAACAAAGAGGAAATTACCTGATGAGATTTAAGATATGCCTAGACTACATGATGATTGTAACGAAAAATCTCCATATAACATGAAACTTACATCGAAAAATTAGCGAAGTTTGCTCCTGCTAACAGCTCTTGTATCTAGGACTATTCCTAGGCTATGCTATGGTTTAAGACGAATACAAAGTTCCAAGTTCAATTATTAGGAATATATCTGTTTAGTCCTTGCAAGAACAAGCCTACTATAGCCAACTTGTTACATAGCCAAGTAGGCCTACATGTTATTTTTACTTTACAATTTTCAACATGTTTAAATTAAAAGCCGATTTTAGGATAAGTTGCTGAATACTGTTTTCTGCACCAACTAGGTTGAAGCACAATTTGCCCTATGCATAATGACAATAAAGGACGATTTCTTGACATTGAAAAGTGTTATTCATAGAACAAGTAACTTATCACTATGGTTAAAAGTTATAGCAATGTCGTTTTTAACATTAAAAATAAAGAAAGGCAATAAACTCCAATTTCAGTAGGCTAGGCTCTGTAACACAAAAAAGTATTTTAAATCATCGTTTTACAGTTTTATTGGTCTTAATTGTTGATATAAGACATATATAAATGAATCTATATTAAGGAAATAAAATGAGCTTTTAAAATATAGTTTGGTTGTATGTCCTTTGAACTTAATGAAATTCATTCATGAATATAAGACGCTTAAAAATAATGCAATATTTAAAAATATGTACTAAATATGACGGGGCACCCAACTATTTGGTTCTGTTGTTGTAATGTTAGGTTTATAACGCCAACAAATTAAACACAATCTATGAATAATTTGTTTTCCAAGTAATGTTGGATACAATACTGACCTTTTTTGTTTAAATGTTTGTTTAAAAATGTAGTTGCAATTAATTTTACATTTACCTAATGTTCGTAGAAAAAAAAGTAACGTCTTTGGAAAAGTAGCTAAAATTGTAGCTGTAGCTACATTTCATTGTAGCTGTAGTTGTAGCTAGCTACTTTTTCGGAACTGTAGCTGTAGCTGTAGCTAAGCTACTTTTTTGGAAATGTAGCAGTAGTTGTAGCTAGCTACATTTTAAAAGTAGCTTCCCCAACACTGAATATAGCTTACATAAACATTTTTGATAGTTTGTGGTTATAAAAGTAAGCTCATTTAAATTGATTAATTTCAAAGCCAGGATCTTTTAATAAAAGGAAATGTATTGAACATAATTATTAGAATAACTTAACTGTCAAAGGACATTCAAAGGTTAAGTGTCTGTTATTCCAAAATTAGCAATAATTATTTAATACATCCAAAACTTTCAAAATCTATTTTATTTTCCAGAAATTTTAACAATGTAACTAGTTTATTTACTGGTAGGAATTGTAAAACCATATTGATGCAAACTACCCTTGCCTGTTTCAGATATTAATGAATGTGCTCAACCTAATATTTGTGGCCACAATGCTGTTTGTCACAATGTACCTGGAAATTACACTTGCCACTGTTTGGAAGGTTATCATGGAAATCCTTTTCTTGGAGTGAGTATCGTTGTCATACTAGTTTCTAAACAATTTAGATGAGATTAAAAATAGGTTTGTTGTTACAATCAGTTTTAACAGTAAATGGTAAGTGGTTAAACAAAAATACTTAACTTTAGGGTTCAGTTTACTAAAAAGTATCAATTAACCTTCACAGGCATATGATACGTAGGTACCGTATCTTATATATTAAAACATGACAGGGTTTTTTATTTCACAATTCTGAATCTATAACGAATTTGACGAATTTTAGTAATTTTTGTATTTAAAAGATAGGTAATTTTGAGAACTAGGAAATGTCGGAAGCCATAATTTTAATTTAGGGTTTCAGTTTTTTAGAAATTAGGTTTTAATTTTTTTAAAGTCTAGCAGCCGACACTAACTATCTAGACTAGCTTTTGGTATAGGCTAATACCATTTGCTTAGCGTAACAGTGATATTGCATGTTTGGTTTGACCCTTAGATATATTAACATTGGATATGTATTGTAAACATAATTGTAAATTGGTTTGTTTGGACCGTTGGAAGCAAAATTAATAAATATAAATATAAATAAAATAAACAGCTGTAAACATTCAGCGTTTGTGACACAAATAAATTCAGCATTAATTTAGATAAAAATTAAATGACATACATATAGGGTTTACTTATTCATACTATGCGTCATGCTATAAACACTGTTACGTTCATTTATTTGGCAAGAGGATGACAGATTATTTAAATATACAGTAAAATACTAGATGTAGGCCTATTAGGCTATATTTAGATTATAACAATAAACAATACTAATAATGTTATCATATTATTCACATGATAACAAGACTATTTTCCTAATCCCCTTGAGATACTTCTTATCGAGGACAAGGTTCTACTGTATATCAACATTTTATTAAAAATGTAAGCCTATGCTTGGATATCTTTATTTTTAACCTAATAGGCTATATGAGCCAACAAGACCAGAGTTTGGTTTACAAAAACCGTTAAAAATGTTTGTGTGGGAACAAGGAAAACCTTAAGAATGATTACACTTCAACATTTTTAATAAACTGCAATTTCGTTCAAGCTAGGATCTTAATATTGTTAGTTATCCCCGTACATACAAAAATCCCCTTCTTAAGTAAAGATAAGCGAACTTAATGGCTATGGTGTGTGTCACTAGTGTGAAGATGTGGATGAATGCTCATACGAAGGTGCTTGTGGACCTGGAGCCTTGTGTACCAATGTTCCCGGAGGTCACACTTGTGCTTGTCCTCTGGGCTACGAGGGAGATCCGGTGGTCCAAGGGTGTGTGGATGTCAACGAGTGTGCTAGAAACCCTTGCGGACGAAATGCTCAATGTTCTAATCTGCCCGGAAGCTTCAAGTGCGACTGTCCCCCAGGAAGTATAGGAGACCCTATGCATTCCTGCTCAGGTAAATGGATAGATTGTATCCATTCAAAATGTAAATTTCCTTGTAAAAATTAGTTACAGCTTATTAGTGTTACTAATCAGTCCTCGATTGTTTCAGATATAATGATTATGTAATATTATTTAGTTTATATCAAAGTTACTAATCATTTTGGAAATTTTAGCTCTATAAAAACAAAAATGTTTAATGGACCATTAGGAAATTGTTTTAGGATGTACTTGTTGTGTATTGTATATAATGAGATTAAAACATTAGTTAATTAGTAGAAAGTGAAATTGTTGCAAATTAATTAATCTTGTATGTAGATTGGCATGGGATTTTGTTACAGCTTATTGTTTTTTATTGAAACCATCCTAATAAAATCTAACAACTCATTATCAAATGATTTTTTTGTAGCTTTTTTAAAGAACATGGGTCCTATAAAATATGTTTTTAAACAGAAAGTGATCCTTTAAACATCACATTTCAACTAAAAATTCATAACTTTCACAATATTTATTTAAATGTTTTAGGTCTTATCTATAATAATGGTGCTTGTTCCTGCTCATGTACATATATTGCTTGTGTTTATTAACCGAGGGTTGGTGCTGTCATAATCACTAGATATTAACGAGTGTGACTCGTCACCTTGCGGCATCAACGCTGAGTGTGTCAACACCAACGGCAGCTACTCCTGCGTCTGTCCCCCGGGCCACACCGGCCGTGCGGAGACCGAGTGTGTGGATGTCAATGAGTGTGGACGAGCCAACGCATGCGGTGTCAACGCAAAGTGCTTCAATGTCCCTGGCTCGTTCAAATGCTTATGTCCTCAGGGGTTCAGTGGACAAGGCCATACGTTTTGCCAAAGTTAGTTGGGAATTAACCTAATACGCTACCACCTAACTTATAACAATTTTATTGAAACCAAATTCAGTCATTGCATTAAGAAATAAAATAAGTGGTAATTTTACAATTAATTGAAAGTTAATGAATGTACATTACAGCTCATTCAATGCAACTGTCTCTCATGTAATGACTGACTTTGGTTTCTGCTTGTAGGGTATAAAAGTCTGGATTTTGGTAACATGACAATTGTACAGCATTGTATGATTACGACAAACCTCACAACTTTTGAGTAGGCTTATATAAATGTACCTACAAGTTAATTCTGCTTTTAAAAACTTAATTTTTACCACAAAAGTTACCAAAATCCAAATGATGGGTAACAAATGTATGTGGCTGCAAAATTATTTCCTAATCTTATAAATTTTGAAAAACCCCAATCAAAGATGCAACTGTTAAAACTATAAACAATAGCTACAATTAATAGCCTATATACATTGATTTAAAAAACAGCCACATATAGAATTGTGTTTTACTTCAAATTGGATGGCTTCTTTATATGCTTCTTGCTTTGAATGTCTTTGTATGTCGCACATTTTGTTTGCCAAGTGTTTACTGACATTAGCAAACACCTCTGACTTTATTGCTACCTTTATGTATTATTCGTTTCATACCTTTTAGCCTTGTATTCTTGCATTTATGTGTATATTGTCCTACGGCTACCTTTAACTTATTGACTGCAAAAATTATTTCTCAAGTTGAGATACGTGTGATACTATATGTTCTTTCAGAATTTATTCACCACTATTATTAGTCTTGAGTTTCCTAGTTTTTGCAGTCAGAACAGTTTCTGCACTAATTTTTATGTGTTAATTTCTGTTCCACAAAACACGCCTACTTTGTGTGTTTTGTGTCTATGTTTCTGTCTTGCTCAGCTTTCCTCTCTCTCTTTTCGTGTCTGGGAGCCTTTCTTTTTCAACAGCTTACTCGAAGGTAAAATCTCCTGGCTTTTTAACAAAACCAAGGAAATCAGGTGAGCAAATAAACTGTCTTCTTTAGTTAGTATTTTTTACTACACACACTTTACTCTTTAAAAAGTTGCTTTTAGAAATTAAACAAAATGAACTTCTAATGATTTCATTGACATTTTAAATGGTTATGAAATTACTTGTTTAGGTGATTGAGGTTGGGTGGTAGAAACTACGATCTTCATTTTATTATTTAAAATCAGGAGAAAAAAATGTACTTCAGTTCTTTCCTGTTCTTACTCTTTTCACTTTCAAACTCAGCAGATGCTTTTCTTGTTTCTTTACAACGCACCTTTGCTGAATGAAACCTTACAATGTATTTGTAGTTTTTATGTTTCCTATGTCATTTTTTAAAATTAAAATTGTTTTCTTTAATACAGTTATTGAAATAAAAAAATAGTTATTGATTACAAATAATATACATATACACATTAAATGTTTTTACTTTGTATCATGCTTTTATTATGTCAGTCTGATTGCACATAGATGTATCTGAAATATCTGCACATTTTAAGATAGATTATCCTTAACCATTTCTAGACACATTTAATCTATTTCAATTTAATAAAAATTCCCCCAAAAAATAAAAAAAATAGACTAATATAATATTTTAAATTTATACTAACAGCATAATTCTGTTTCAATTTAGATATCAATGAATGCAAACAAAATCCGTGTGGCCCGAATGCAGTGTGCACAGATACTGTTGGAAGCTTCACATGTTCCTGCAAGGAAGATTACACTGGGGATCCTTTCAAAGGATGTATTGGTAAGTTTCATCTCATTTTCCAAGATCAGTTTTGTTATTTTCCTTGAACTTGCAGCTTGAGTAAAAAAAATACTATAGAGTTCTTAACAATTTGGAATCAAATGCTTAAACACATTTATGTCCGCAGACATTGATGAGTGTACTGCCTTGGATCGGCCTTGTGGCACAAACGCCAAGTGTGAAAACGCTGTGCCTGGATACAACTGTGCCTGTCCTCAGGGGTACTCGGCCAAGCCTGACCCGAAAATTGCTTGTGAACAGGTAAAAATACACATCAAAGCTTCACTATAATCTAACTTCAATGGCAACTAATAAATCATGTTAACCAATGATTCCTTTTCCATACTCCATTTATAGAAAAGATTTATGTTCATCATAAGAGTAATAAAGTTTCTAAGATTTATTCAAACATTGAACTGGGTTAATGAATAACTGAGTGTGTTATTCATTATGAGTGTGAAGTAGTTTGTACACTAATTTTAAAAATACTGTAGTTCTTTAAATAATTTTATTTACAACCTCCTCCCTAATGAACTTAAGTATATCCCTGAAACAATTAATTTGATCGGTTAGCCTCTGGATCAAGATAATGCAAATATAAAATGTTTAATTTACCTGTTGCGTCGATTGATCCTTAAGTTATAAAATAACTATGGCCGTTTCGTGCTGCTTAGCGAGCACATCTTCAGGTTGTAGGAACGTTAAAATACAGTCTTCTCATCCGTGGATGAAGTCGTCAGCACATTTAGGACACATAACACGAAACACATACGAAATATTTAAGTATTTACAATAAAAAACTTGGTTCTTTCATATTTGATGATAATTGATAATAATAAAATGTATAAAGTAACTCTACAGTGCTTCTGTTTACAGGTGGATGTGACAGTGTTATGCAAGAGCAACTTTGACTGTGTCAACAACGCAGAGTGTGTGGAGGGTCAGTGTTTCTGTCAGTCAGGATTCAAGGCGCAACGCTCTGTGTGTGTGGACTTGGACGAATGTGGAGCCAAGCCTTGCGGACCTCACGCAACATGTACCAACACGCCCGGTGGCTTCCAGTGCCACTGTGCACCAGGATATATTGGGGCTCCCCCCACCATGTCTTGTAAAGGTTAGGAGCCAAATATTATCAGTCAATATATGTATCATAATGATGGAAATCAATATTGACTTTAATTTTATTTCTATTACAGTATCATACCATTTAAAATATATTGTTATATGGTACCTTTCTTCAGTATTTCAACTTTGGTCATCTGTATATCAAGTTTTTTTACAAACAGTAATCTGATTAACCCTATAGGACCACCGAGCGCCGGATATGTACGGTGCATAGGGGTGCTGCCGATCTGGTAACGCCGGATATACGGCGCCAACGCAGGGTTCCATATTTATGTTTTTCTTAACCCTCCGTAGGTGACACCACAGAGTTTTTCTCCGGGCGCATTTGTTTGAAAAAAAAAATATGTGATATTCGCAGCCGCAAGCTTTAGGAGTAACAGTACCTCTCGAGCATCTTTCTAGGAACCGATTGAACATTTTTTTTATCTCACACTTCCCCAGTAAAACCCCTATTAATCAGTTGAAGCCTGAAGCATGGGCATACCCAGAGAGGGCCAGGATAAGGTATCAAAAATTGAGATCCAAGAAAAATTTATTAGTATGAGAAAATATAAGTAAGATATTTTACAGATTTTGTATGACATTTTTTTACACATGTTATCAATTTTTCATTAGATTCCGAGTTATTCTTCAATAAAATAAAAATTCAAATATCTAAATATATAAAAGGCAAAGCCCTCACTGACTGACTCACTCACTCACTCATCACCAATTCTCTTACTTCCCATTTACCTAGGAGGCTGAAATTTGGTACACTGATTCTTTAGGCATTAAATAGGAAAACTAAGCTGTTTTTATTCTGATCGGACTCTCGGGCTCCGCCCCAGTGGCTCTGGAGTTTCCCATGTTAACCTTATGAGTACTCATATTTAAATGGAATTAATGAATCTTAACAGCTGTTTCAATTAAACAAGTTGGTTCTGTTCTATGATGTTACACAATTACAATTAAATAGCAGAATGAAACATTATACCATTAATTTACATCACCTGAATTTAATTTTACTTTCATATGTTTTGTTAGTAACAAATCTAACTTAAATTCTATAAAAATCCCTGATATGGTACCTTTAAGACTGTCCCAGGGCGAAGCCCTGAAAGTTATCACAAAATTGATGGTGTATAAACCTACTCAATGAAATTCTACGTGTATGTACAAAGTTGCGTGGCCATCGGTCCAGTGGGGTCTGAGTTTATCACTGCCAAATATATATTACAAACAAATATACAAATCTACACATCCTCTTTTATGCTTATAGATACATTTTATAAGTATGGATGGTTCTAATACTTTTTGTATTAATATGTATGAAAAAACATTGTTTGTCTAATGTTTTAACACCCAAAAAAAAACAAAAACTCCTAAGACTCAATTGTCAACCTGTACACTAAGCCATGATTATATTATTATTTATAATTTTTATAATGGTTTTAAAATGTTTTATATAACTAATAATATCCCTGTGCCAGTACAGCAATACACCAGTGTCAACTCTAGGGCTAAACGAGAAATTTGCAAAAGGTTTCATTTGCTGGTTCAAAAAATATATTCATACACAAATCATTAATTTCAAATAACATTGATTTTTAGTTCAAAAGACATTTAGAAAATTTGCGCTGTCAAATATAAAATCAATGTAAGAATTAATAAAAATTGCCAGATACATGTTTCAACTTCATGTTAAGATAATGTCTAAATGAAAGTTCTTTTGTTTCAGAACCATGCAAAGATGTTACATGCGGTGAACACGCCTTCTGCAAGCCTGATGGAAACGAGACGTACTGTATTTGTGAGGACGGATGGACTTTCAATCCACTGGACATTGCTGCTGGCTGTATTGGTAAGGATAAAATCACTAAATTTTAGGCTTATTAACACCTGATGAAGATTAATTTTGTTTCAATTATTTATTATTTATTTTTTGTTTCTAGCTTTTCCAACTTGTAATAAATCATCTATTTGCAGATATTGATGAATGTGACAAAATCAATGGACCATTTGGCCGCTGTGGTGTAAATGCAATATGTTCTAACACTCCTGGAGGCTTCAATTGTCAGTGTAAGCCTGGGTTTTCTGGCAACGCCTTCAAACAATGTTTTGGTAAGTTTGTTAAAAGTTATACATTCAAACACATTGAGGGCATTAAACACATTGTATGTATAACAGTATGTTTATATTTCAAACGATGCAATCCTTCATTATGTCCATTAAAGAGAGGTAACTCCAAAATCATTAACAGAAATGCTTTGGAATATTGAATGGCATGCATAATCTTATTTAGGGCCTATTATTTTTATAGTCCTATTTCAAATAGTTTTCACAAAACTTATGAAATGAAACTATATGAAATGAAATTTATGAAATTATTTTACATGTATAGTATTATGCCTTACATTAACCCTCAGTTGGATGAACTAGGCTGTAAAACTTGTTATTTATGTATTGTGTTTGTGCAGACATCAACGAGTGTTCCCGAGCAGACACATGTGGTCCAGGTGCTGTATGCACCAACTCTCCCGGATCATTCACCTGTCAATGTCCTGACGGAACACTCCCAGATCCCTCCCCGGAGGTGAGGTGTGTCACCATCGTTACATGCAAGACCAACACAGATTGTCCTGGCAACGCTATCTGTAACCCTGAGAACCGCTGCTACTGCCCTGACCCCAACATCGGCAATGAGTGCAGGCGTATGTTTCATACTCTTAAAATTTAACTTATTTAAATATAATTTGCGGAAGATTCCTTATCAAGGCTTACACATTTTCCTACGGACTCCTTTACAGATATTCAACATGAACCACTAAAATACTGGTTAAATAATTATTATACCCACAGCAGCAAACCTGCAACCAAGCGAATTTCCACTTACCTGGCTGGATTTCTACTTAAATATTCCCTTAAAATTGTCAGATTTATTTCCTATTTAAATAACATTAATTTAAAGAGTACCTATTGAAGTTTGCTGCTTCAGGAAAGGTAATGAGGTGTGTTTTTTTTATTGAAATGTTGATAGCTTAGTGTGAAATAAACAGAATTGCCAAATTTCATCAAAAATGTTATCCATAAAGAAGCAAGCTGCAACGGTTATTTATTCTCCATAAGAGTGACATGTTTTATATACAGTAACGTTTTTACATGTGAATTTTTTTAAATAATCTCCGTAACTGTTAGGCATATAACAACGCTACAATATACTAAACTATATCTTATTTTAAGCTTTACAAAATTGTTTGAAATTGTGAAATGTTACGTTTTTTGTTTTTAGAACCAACAATTGAAAAACCCTATTTTTAGACCATAATCATCATGCGGCTTTGCAAACTAGTTCAAATAAAGGTAGATTTACACGTTTATACCAAATGTCATGAAAATCTCAATGCGTATGATTTTTACTTGAGTTATCGCGCTAACGGACACATTAAGATATATAGTAAAAAATATGTATTATACAGTGTATGAACTTGAAAGGAGGTGTTTTTGGCCTCTGGGGACCTCAATACGAAAAAGTAAATCGGTTCCGAGTAGTGATAGTCAAAACCAGAAATTTTGAATCTCGAAACCAAAACCGAAACTTAAAAAAATCAAATCCAGAATCTCGAATCTCAATACCTAAACGTGAAACTTGTTAACTTAGCTAGTTACAAAGGCCAAGGTTAAAAAAATACAGATAATAATAAAATGTTAAGTATGCAATAAAAACTGAAAAGAGATCGACTCCTGACCCTGACATAATACTGTAACATAAATATGTGACTGATAATCTCAAAACCCAATACAACATAGGCCTAGTTAATTATTTATAAACAACCATTATTAAAATAAATTAAACTCCTAACACCAACATAAACATGAATATAAGATTAATTAGAACATTTTAGTGGTCAATATTTCTTTGTGTTTAGTGACTATTGATATGAAACTGAATTGTACATTGTTCCAGTTACCCTTGTATGACTTGAATATGCCTTTTGAAGTTCAGAATACAATTTACTTGTTTCATTACTGTTAGTGGTGGTCTGTTTGCTCTATTGCTACCAGCTTGTGGCTTGTGTGGAAACAGTGTTAAAAACAATAATAATAACGCAAAAAAATTTCAGCAGTTTCAAAAATAAAACTGCCAAAATTTTCAAATTTCGAAACTTTGAACCTTGAAACTCTGTGATCGAATCTCGGATAACCGAAACTTTTCCAAAGTTTTGAGATTTAAGATTCGGTTTTGACATATCACTAGCCCCGGGTCTAGGTCTTACCATGAGACCTACGGTTATAGCTTTTCCTCTTATGGGAAATTCGCTAAAACAACATTTGGCAAGTCTAAACACTGTTTTAAAAAAGGCCTTGAAAATATGTATAATATTTCTGGAGATTTATTATTTAACTTTTGAGTTTAAGGTTCAGGTTTCATTTTAATTCACTAGTAGATACTTGCCGTAAAGTCTTTGATTTATAAGGTCTTAGTTTTTCCATTATAAAGACCTTCAATTTAAACTTATAATATATACTACCTATTTACTATATTAGTAGGCTCCTAAGGTGTAAGTAAACTGAGCTAAAGATGTAAAAGAAAATTCATTATTTGGCCACTAGTGAATAGAAAGTAGCCTATTTTTGGTAGGGGCAAGACCAATAAGGAGATATGCAATTATGGTAAACATTATACCTACCTTTCTTGAATAATTTTAAAGAGGCAATATTCAAAGAAGAATGCGGAAAACTTGTTGAGGGTAAATAAATGATCTTTTAATGCACTATGAGGCAGAGTTGTCTTTTTTAAGATTGTTAGTGTTGTTTTCATTCTCATTTGTTGTGGTTTGTTGGAAACAGACCCATGTGAGGGCGTGACCTGCGGCCCCAATGCACAGTGTATGCTCATCAACAACCAAGCACAATGTCTGTGTCGGGCTGGCTACACTGGTAAGAGCTCAGGCTGTGTGGATGTCAATGAGTGCCTCACCAACCCTTGTCCTGTTGGAGCTGTCTGCAACAATGAGCCTGGCAGTTACTCCTGTCAGTGCCCTGGAGGAGCTGCTGGTGACCCGTACAAGGATGGCTGCTCTCAGCTCAAGGTATGGTTACTGTTACTAGCTGCTGTACCCGTGCTTCCAATGGTGAACATCATAGAACCAAAATATTCTATAGAAAAATACATTTTAAAACTAATAAAATTGAGACATTCTTTGAGTGATTCTATAACAGTTGAATAAATTATGTGTTCAGGTACCTGAGTCGTGTGGTCCACAGTTGCCTTGCTCTGACACGGAGGTTTGTGTGACGGATGAATACCTCCGCCATAATGTGTGTATCTGTCAGAGCGGCTACATCCGAGACACCAAAACAGGCAAATGTAAGGACATCAACGAGTGCAGCCCCAGCTATGAGAAGCCTGCTTGTGGCCTCAACGCTGTGTGCAAGAACATGCCTGGTAGCTACGAGTGTCAGTGTCCTCCAGGATACAATGGCAATCCATTTTCTCTTTGTGAAGGTGCGTGATAGTGATCAATAGCAGCCATCCAAAAGAATATGACAAAATACCTTAGTGTAGCAATAACATAAATTACTTGATATTAATGTTTCTGTTTCATGAATGAGTTGTTTTAAGACAATTCTTCAATTTTAGTCATGCCTCTTAACATGTAGCTAACTATATAAATTACAAATTAAACTCTCAGCAATACTCTTACAAAACTTGTACAACCTTTCTTTGTCGAACATAACCCTCTAAATAATGCATGCATTTTCTAGCACCACAAGCATCTTTTTTTTTCGAGTAAATAAACAAACACCGATTAATTGCATTGCCCAGCTGTTTCATTAAATAAGTTCAATTAAATGATTCAAACTTTGGGAGCATAACAAACGTAGCTCTTTGGAAATCATCCTATGAGGCAGAGCCCCTGAGAAATTTTTCCATACCAATAATTTTTGGCAAAACTACACACTCTAAGCTCTACTTTGATGTGCCATATGCCTATATTTTTATTTGGTAAATGGACATAAGCATTTACATAAAATTTGATTGTATCACTTAAATAGTATAATAGATACTCATAAGGTTAACATGAGGAACTACAGAGCCACTGGGGCGGAGCCCGAAAGGATTTTAGAGATAAGAATAGGCCTATATGTTAAACGGGAATGTGAGCTATCATCGTGCCAAATTTCAGCCCAATCCGTCCAGTAGTTAATGAGCGATTGAACTTCAAACAAACATACAAACACACAATTTTTCATACTTGTAATAATATTAGTAAGATTTAGTTCATCACCTTAAATGAGATCAAGGAAACGATAACCAGTAGCATTTATCCATGTGTTCAGAATGCAACAGTGTGGAGTGCCAATGCCAGCCACCGTACCACCTGGTGAGAGGGGAGTGTGTACTAGCTGACTGTTCCAAGGGCAAGTGTCCTCCAGGTGCTGAGTGTATCACCATATCAGGGGGAGTCAGCTACTGTGCCTGTCCAAAGGGCTCTAGGCCTGCTGACGATGGAACATGCCAAGGTTTGTAACTACTGGCAACTTTTCTTGTAGTTTTATCAAGTGATATTTTAATGTAACAACACCCTAACAGCCAGATTTAACACATGAAACACTACAGTTAACAGCATTTGATTAAACTTGTATTTGTTGTACTTGCAGATATAGATGAGTGTGTTGAGGCGGGTCACGGACAGGTGTGTGGTTATGGAGCACAGTGCATCAACCAGCCGCAAGGGTTCACTTGTGTGTGTCCACCTGGCTACAGTGGTGACCCGACACGGTTCTGCTCACCTGCACAGGTCAAATGTGTCACACACAGTGACTGTGGAGCCAATGAGCAATGTGTGCAGCCCGGGGAGTGTGTGTGTCCTCCTCCCTACTTCACTGATGCCACTGACGCTAACAAGTGTAAAAGTGAGTATTTGATACATTGACACTCAGTAAACAGCACCGTATAACTGTCCAGTGAGTTGATGGTTTAGCCACCTGACCAGTGTCCAGAACAAATTTTAACCTGGCTTTTGGGCAATATCTGTTTTTGGGACTCAGGAAATAGTATGGTTTAGAGAATATACATTAATTAAATTGCATCATGTACGTCACCATGTGAGTTATGGCCGGCCGCACATTAGTTTTTGTTATTTAAATGTATCTGTGTTCTTGTGTATTAAATGTTGTATTTTTGTGTATTTGTATTTACAAAGACAATATATGTTCTAATGTTTTATGAAGCAAGGGCTTGAAAATGTAACAGTTTTTCCTAAAACTAGTCGCTTAAGTCTAAATTAGGATTGATAACCTAAGGTATGTAAGTCTATTTATATTAAGTTGTTGTTTTAACTGTTGAAGCTTTCATTTATGTGTTTTTATGAACATTTTTACAATTATTAATTTTTTAGGCCCATGTGAGAGGTACCCGTGTGGGATGAACGCTCAGTGCTCTCCCACAGACCCACCACAATGCCTGTGTCTACCTGGCTTCAAAGGAGACCCCCACCATGGCTGTGTGGATGTCAATGAGTGTGCCAGCAACCCTTGTGCATACGCTTCTCGCTGCATCAACGAGAAGGGAGGCTTCAAATGCATCTGTCCCCATGGCATGACTGGAGACCCCTACAGAGGAGGATGTAAGTTATTTTTTAATTTGATTTAGGAAGAAGAAAATGATGCACAACTTAACTGTGTCACATATCATAGCCATTTGAAACATTATGTTTTGCATTTTGCCCCTTCTATGGCTGATTCAGAAGAATCTGTTGGCATTTAATTCCAAATTTCTAAAATAAAACTAAAACAGATGAAAAATAAGTGTTATTTCTTTTATTTGTTTTTAACCAATGGGTCCGAATGTTGGTGTTTTATCTATAAATAACCATGTTTTGTGGATAAATTTGGACTATAATACTATTTCATGTAGAGTTAAACAAAACATAATTTTTAAGTAGGCTACAACATAAAAAAAAAAATTTTAATTCCACAAACTCCCGATTGTTGCTTACAGAAAAATTTAGGCGTAACATTGACATGTTCCATACAGAGTTTTGAAAATATATAATTTACATAGGCCTAGCCTGATTGTGTACTTATTTGCTTGTGTTGCCAGGTATTGGCACAATATCCCCGAAGGGGGAGTGTACAGTAGATGATGAGTGTGCTGGTCAGTTGGCTTGTGTCAACCACGAGTGTGTCAACCCGTGCAACACTCTACCATGTGGTGTCAATGCATACTGTGAACCTGAGAACCATGCTGCGTGGTGTCGCTGCTACCCAGGTTTCCACGAGAACCAGCACGGGGAGTGTGTGTCAAGTGAGTACCTCAGACAGAACTACGCTAATTCAGAAATTAAAAAAAAAAAAAAAATTGATAGTAGTTTTTATCTAAGCCTTTTGACATAACTTGATGTTTGCATTGTTAAATTTTAATGTCATTTATCAGAGCATGTTAAACCAAATTAATTTGATCGGTTTTATAAAAAATATTGTTACATACTTGAATGAATTTAAAATATAACTTTTGTATGACAGTGTGTGAAGGAGTGATTTGTGGACGAGATGCTCAGTGCATCGTCACTACGTCAGGACCAACATGTAAGTGTGTGGAAGGCTATAGAGGCAACCCGTTCCCCGGAGGCTACTGTGCTCCGGACGTGTGCTCTGCTGCTACTCCATGTGCTCCACCCTCCGTCTGTATCGGAGGCAGGTGCAAGGAGCGTTGTGAGGGTGTGGTGTGCGGAGTCGGAGCTACCTGTGACCCTGACACTAACCAGTGTGTCTGTCTACCACTGTTTGTGGGCAACCCAGATCTGCTGTGCATGCAACGTGAGTCAAACATCCACCAACTACACCAGTAGGATAAATTTGTTCTGTTCATTTTTTGTTACCATTTAAATTATCAAAATGTTGGTCCTACTACCTTCTATAAGTAGTAAAAAAAATGTATAATTGATTCTTTAATTGAAACAAATATATAATTAGCTTAATGCGCATCAGCAATATTGCTAGTGGATTCTCATTGCAGGCATTAAAAAATAAAAATAAATCAACTGTTATTATTTAATGCTGATTATTAATAGAACTATACAGTAGACTCCCTCATATCCGGACTCCTCGGGACCGAGGCCAGTCAGGATAACGGGTTTTCCAGTTAAACTGACGTCCCCAAAAACTCGTTAAAACGGACCGTTTGAATGCATACTGTATAAGCCAATAACGATTATTACGTATTTAGACATGTGATCAGTGGTCTCAAATCTTACCCACGAGAACAGTCGTTTCAGTACCGCCCATTTCCTGCCAATCTAGTCTGGTTAAACCGATGTGCTGATAAAAATTTTCTGGTTAAAGAGATGTCATTTCTGCGGAGTGTAGTCCGGTTAAACTGATGTCCGGTTAAATGGTGTCCAAAAAAGAGGGAGTCTACTGTATTCCATTTTCTTTTTCTATATTTTTTTCAATTATCTAAGCTTAATTTAATCAGATTGAAATTAGAACTAAACAATGCTATTCATATTACACAAATATTCTGTTAGCACTAGTTTTGTTCTGTAATTGTCATTGATTGAAAAGGGGAGAAGAATAGATTAAGGTCTAAAAAAGAGAATGTTACAGTTTTAACAACTCATCAACAACAAATAACTGAACCATTTGGTCTGTTTTGTTGACAGCATCACTGCCACCAGCATGTACCCCCATGTGTGGCATCAACGCCCACTGTGAGTATGGAGCCGTTAACCAATGTGTGTGCAACCCCAGCACTTCAGGCAATCCCTACAAGGAATGTGGTCCGCAAGACAAGCGACCAGTATCATGTGACTCTGGAGTCTGTGCACCCGAGGCGTTGTGCAAGGAGAGTGCGACCGGTGTCGTCTGCTCTTGTCCTACTGGCTTCCGAGGCAACCCTCATATCAAGTGTGAAGGTTAGCTGCAATTCATGTTTCATGTTTGAGTAACTACGGTTTTAGATATCAGAATTGGACAAAAGAAAACATTCCATAAAGCTTGTTTGTAGTAATGGGTAGAAAAAAAAGTATAAATGTAAATATTTATTCAACAGATGTGGATGAATGCGTTGGAAATGCTTGTGGAAATAACGCTGTATGTATCAACACGCCTGGCAGCTTTGATTGTCGATGTATTGATGGCTACGCAGGCAACCCCTTCACTGGTTGTCTACAACTTGTTCGTCAGCCTTGCTCAGACCCTCTCACTTGCACTTGCAGCAATGACAGACCTTGTCCTTCTGGGTAAGTTGGATGTTTCTCACTATTTTAATTACTTACCATGAGGTTATAAATAAATAACATATTTTCTATTAATTATTATGTATACCTAGCAACGAACTCAGCATACTGATAAATTTCCAATTTCATGATGGAATGGCCTCTGGGTCGTCTGAATAAAGAAATACAGGGTGATTGGTACTCAGTGTGACAAAAATTATTTGGTGTATGTACAAAGTAAATTAAGTGTGATGATGCATATCAAATGTTCCAAGTCTAAAAATTAGCTTCCCAAAAAATTATTGTATGTTTTTAAAAAATAACCATGCTTTTAAACTTAATACAGCGATTTCTCAATTACCTGTATATGGATTTGAGTAGATAATGTCATTTTCGTATTCTACATTAAATTTTGAACAAGAATAATAGAAAATAACGGAGGATCAGTTGTATCATTGTAAATAGATTCAAAGATAAAAATTAAGATGTTTGATAAAAATTTAAAAAACAATGGTCCATTGCATTTTTCACACCCTGTATACAAGAAAGTGTCGGAATATGTTAAAAACTGCGCCATTTTATAAGCTTTACAACCATATAAATATAATATATAATACATAGTTTTAAAGTAATTTACATGTTCTTTTTACAGATTCACTTGTAAGAGAGGTCATTGCAAGAACCGTTGTGATGGAGTGCGGTGCGGCCCAGGAGCTGCTTGTGTCAATGGAAAGTGTGTTTGTCCTCCTGGTCTGTCAGGAAACCCCAACAACATCCAGAGTGGCTGCAAGGTGGAAGGCCAGTGTAGCAATGACTTTGACTGCAAGAGTGCTGAAATTTGCTTTCAGTTTAGCAAAAACATGCGTAAATGTGTAGACGCGTGCAGCAAGTTACAGTGTGGGCTTAATGCATTGTGTGTTACTGATCAACACAGATCATCTTGTATCTGTGCTGACGGCTTCACAGGTGACCCAGGAGATCTAACTATCGGTTGTCAGCCAGAGAGAACTTTGACAGCAGCTGAATGTTCCAAAGATGAAGATTGTAAAGCAGGAATGATCTGTGCTATTGACACTAATGGAGTTAATGTTTGTGCTAATCCATGTGCTACCGTCGCTTGTGGTCAAAACGAAGTATGTTCTCTCGATAATGAAAGCCATCCGGTTTGTCAATGCAAAGCCAGTTTTAAATGGAACCCTGTCACATCTTCTTGTGAGAAACCTTCATTGCCGGATTGCTCTACGAATGAAGATTGTTTGGAAACAGCACAATGTATACCAGATCCTCTCGGTGTTTTAAAATGTTCTGGAATCTGCTTGGAATTTACATGCCCGAGTAATGCAGTTTGTGTTGCCTTTAATCACGCTGGACATTGCCAATGTTTGCCAGGGTTTACAGGCAACCCTAACGACAGAGAAGGATGTAAATTAGCCATCAACAACCAGTGTAATCAAGATGGGCAGTGTCCTGAGACTGACACATGCAGACTGGACTCACAAACTGGAACATTAACATGCCAGCCTGCTTGTGATAAAGTCAACTGTGGACCCCAAGCTGTCTGTGTAGCCAAGAACCACGTGGCACAATGTCAGTGTCCACCGGGCTTGTTCACTGGAGATCCCAACACTTCAGGATGTCAAGCAGTACCTTGTGTCTACAACAAGGATTGCCCTTCTCATCAACTCTGTAACCGACTCAGCCACACTTGCATCGATGTTTGTGAAGAGGAATCATGTGGAGCCAATGCAGTTTGCATACCTGAAGATCACAAATCAATTTGTCAGTGTCCCAGCGGATTCAAGGCCAATCCGATTCCAGATGTAGAATGTGTTCCTACTGAAGTTTGCAGTCCCAACCCTTGCCATCCTACAGCACTTTGCGAATCCACACCTTCTGTCGGGCATACTTGTAAGTGTCCTCCAAATCATGTCGGCGATCCATTCACAGAAGGATGTTGGCCTGAAGGGAACTGCCCGAACGGTAACAGAGATTGCCCTGATCAGTCTGTTTGTGTCGGAGGAAAGTGCATGAACCCTTGTGACGGGGCATGTGGTCCTAACACTCTGTGCAATGTTATCGACAGGAAACCTGTTTGTGATTGTTTACCTAAGTTCACTCCTCTGACCAAGAATGCAGCTGAAGGCTGTTTGAGGGAGTTGTTCAGCTGCACATCAGATATCGATTGCAACGGAGACATTTGTATCGATGGTCAATGCAAAGTTTTGTGTCGCAAGTCGGAAGATTGTTCTGAAGGAGAGAGATGTGTAGCCAACAAGTGTCAACTGCCCTGTGTGAGTCACTCACAGTGTCAGCCCACACAGGCTTGTGTCAACAGTGTGTGTGTGCTCGGCTGCCGCAGTAACAAGAATTGCAAATCCAGCCATGCTTGCATTCAAAACAAATGCCATGGTAAGATAAAGATAAAAGTGTAATTTTGGCTCTTCCAAAATGTATTTTATATTACATAATAGTAGCTCTTACTAAGAATAGTGAGAATTTTATTTAATTAGGAAATTATACTTTTTATTTACATTATATTGATACAAGAATCTCCAACATTATCAATTATTAATTATTCAATTATCAAATATTTAAGATGGGTACGCCACTATGTGCATATTTTAACCCTAACATGAGTGAAGGATGAGTGTATGATGAGTGGCGCGATCTTGAAGTCTTGTTAGTGACAAAGGCTGACATATTCCTTAGACACAGCTGTTAATTAATAGCCCATACAGCTAATGGCAACTAAGAGACCTACAGTTTATAGTGGAATCCGAACTATATTTTTGCCTTGGTATTAATGAATCGGTCTAATTATGAGGATAGTACTGCGGATAGTCGTAGTACTCACTAGTGCGGACATCAATCCACACCAGGGAGTATCGCATCCACAGTACATGCCTATAAAAAATAAATATCCACAATTCATTGATATTCCTAGTCTTTAAAAGCTTTTTATTTACTAATGATGTCACTTTACATGATGGTGGAACCACTGACCAATTTCTGTTCTTTCTCAAATTGTAGTAGATGAAAGTAATTAATCATTTTGGAACTGAAATTGTTCCTAATAATTAGGGATGGACGGGATTGAATTTTTAGTTCGGGACGGGACGGGACGGGATTTTTATTTCCTTCCCAATTTTCGGGACAGGACGGGATTTTTTTCTGTGCATAAAAAGAAAGTACTGTATTGCAGTTACCAAAAAAAGACATACGAAATCAATTTTTACCATTTGTGGCACTGATCTATAAAAACCAAAAAATGGGTAACAATTTACAGGTAACTACCTATAGTAACTTGTGACTCGCGGGTCACGGGGTGATCGTCTGTACGACTCACGGTCACGGCGAGATCGTCGTCATGACTCGCGATCACGGCGCGATCGTCGGTATGACTCGCGGTCACGACGCGATCGTCGTCATGACTCGCGGTCACGGCGCGATCGTAGGTAGGACTCCGCGGTCACGGCGCGATCGTCGGTATGACTCCGCGGTCACGGGGTTATCGTCGGTATGACTCGCGGTCACGGCATGATCGTCGGTATGACTCACGAACACGGCTCGATCGTCAGCATGACTCCGCGGTCACGGCGCGATCGTCGTCATGACTCGCGGTGACTCGCGGTCACGGCATGATCGTTGGTATGACTCGCGAACACGGCTCGATCGTCAGCATGACTCCGCGGTCACGGCGCGATCGTCGTCATGACTCGTGGTCACGGCGCGATCGTCGGTATGACTCGCGGTCACAGCGCGATCGTCGGTATGACTCGCGGTCACGGCGCGATCGTCGGTATGACTCCGCGGTCACGGGGCTATCGTCGGTATGACTCGCGGTCGCGGCGCGATCGTCGGTATGACTCGCGATCACGGCTCGATCGTCAGCATGACTCCGCGGTCACGGCGCGATCGTCGTCATGACTCGCGGTCACGGCATGATCGTCGGTATGACTTGCAGTCACGGCGCGATCGTCGGTATGACTCGCGATCACGGCTCGATCGTCAGCATGACTCCGCGGTCACGGCGCGATCGTCGGTATGACTCGCGGTCACGGCGCGATCGTCGGTATGACTCGCGATCACGGCTCGATCGTCAGCATGACTCCGCGGTCACGGCGCGATCGTCGTCATGACTCGCGGTCACGGCATGATCGTCGGTATGACTTGCGGTCACGGCGCGATCGTCGGTATGACTCGCGATCACGGCTCGATCGTCAGCATGACTCCGCGGTCACGGCGCGATCGTCGTCATGACTCGCGGTCACGGCGCGATCGTCGGTATGACTTCGTCTCCTGCGTTCGCGGACCTATCGCTCGCAATAACGGCGTTATCGGCACTCGCGAAGCGGAAAAATCTCCGACGATCGGACTAAATCCCGTCCCGAAAAATTCCCGAGTCAAATGTAATCCCGTCCCGATAATCGGGAATATTTTTTTCCCGAAAAATTCCCGAAATTTCGGGACCCGTCCATCCCTACTAATAATATGAGGCAATCTTTTACTAGCTACAAAGTATTCAACACCTTTTGATTTTACAATATAATATTGGTAACAGTATCTTTAATCTAGCTGTAAGAAAAAAAGTTACAATTTTTTTCACACATTAATTTTAAATCTACATAAAATCAAGTTCATTATTTATCAATTATTCACATTGGAGTTGTTCACAGTGGTCAGTGACAAATGTTTTTTTCCTGCACTAGATCCGTGCACTGCCCAAGGAGTGTGTGGTCCCAATGCTGAATGTTCTGTAGTCAACCATGAGACCAGGTGTGGCTGTCCTGAAGGCTTCCAAGGAAACCCTTCTCCACAACAAGGGTGTGTTAGAGTTCCAGTCGGCTGTAGGAGCAAGGTAACAGAGTTTAAATTTGTCAATCTCAAGCAGCAGTTATACATACTTTGTTATTTCAGTGTCAGTGTCGCATATAGTAAAATTACCAATTATTACATAAAGGTTTTTGGAAATATTGTATTATATTTGTTTTTTTAGCTGTTAGGTTAGATTCTAAGAAATAAATACGAAAAAATCAATCATTATGCATTAATCAATTAATTACCTTCCCTCTTTATGCAGATTTTTGAGCTATTGACCTAGTTTGTTTCCTTTCTCCTTTGTAATGTTTTAAAATCAACTTATTTTACCTTTTAAAAAATCAACTAAATAATAATAAATTTTGGGTTTTGTAGCTTGGTGAAACTATTTTTTTAGCTTGCTCCAACCAATAATGATTCTAAGACATTGAACTTAATTTAGTTTTCACTTAAGCAAGTTTATTTTGACGTTAAAATTCAATTCAAAGCTCATGTATTTCTCAATTTATCATCTATTCATTATTAAATCCACTATCCAAAATTTTTCCAAAAAATCCCATTAAACCGGGATACACATTTTGATTACAAAAGTTTGACTGTATTTCAGCAATTTCCAATTATCAATTACCTGTTTTTGTTGCCTTTGTTCTTGAGGTAAAGGTTAGTATTCAGCCTATGTACATTTTACCAGCTTGTGTGGCATCTTCATATCTTCTACGACACTAATACTACATGATGTTGCAGGACCAGTGTGTGCGTGGCCAGCTGTGTGTGGAGCATGTGTGTAAGCATCCTTGTGGTTCCACTACTGACTGTGCCAGTGGTGAACGTTGTGACGCAGGTGTCTGTGTACAAGTATGTTATGGAGACAGCAACTGTTTGGCTGGAGAACTCTGTGTACAAGGCACGTGTAGGCCTGGCTGTGCTTCAGATGCTGACTGTGATGTCAATCATATCTGTTTGGAAAACCAATGCAGGTAAAATATCTTCTGCCCAGAGAATATTTGTTTATTTTAATTTTATAAGATTAATTTATGTAACAGTACAGTTGTGTGATCCAACAGTAACTTTTTCTATGTAAAAAAAACAATATTTTTTTGCATCATGTGTTAAACATTGTATTCTTTATAAGCTGAAACATAGATTTTGTAAAAATATATTGCTGAAATTATCATTACAGACATGCCTGTATTTAAGAAAAAATACAATGAATGTTATTTAGTTTCCATGAATTAGAATTAATTAGCTAGCCTATATACTTTAATATTTTAAACATACATGTATCACAGTTACATTGCCACATCTTTAGCAGTGGTGAAAAATCTCTAAAATTTCTGCGTTGACATTGCTGTGAAGTCTCTTAAACAATCGTTATTATTTTGCTGAATTTTTCTGCTATTTTTGGCTCTGTGTTGTTTATAGTTGCATTAACACGTTTGCTTCCGATCCCCACACATTTGCGACTCTGCAGTCATTGCCAAGGCCCGTGGTATACATTTTAATATTACACATTAACCGGGTGTCAATTGGTTAACAGTACATGCAGACCGCAGGCCAGTGATGCAGCAAAGTAAAAAACAGTTTTGCCAACTATCATATGACATCACTCACTAATCATCATAACTACAGATCATGTGACGCACACATGCAACAGACATCCCTTTAGACCACTGCAGAGAATTCAGGGCCTTCAAATAGACTGTTACGAAGATATACGGTAAGCTTTTTAATAACATTGGACACCGACGCAAATATGCGACGTCAGTCTATTTTAATGTAAAGCTGTAGCATACGTGCGACAGCAGTCTATGGGCAGAAACCAGCCGTCGCATATGTGAGTCACTGGTCCATATAAATAACAAATTTAGTACTATTGGGTTAGCGAACGTTTTAAAGAAAAAAACCTTTAACTGTTACTCTCTTCTTGTACAGGTGTGGTGCAGGTTTCAAAATGACATCCCGAGGCTGCCAAGATATCAATGAGTGCCAGCAGAAGCCCTGCCACAGGAGCGCTGTGTGCAACAACACGGTTGGCTCATTCAAGTGTTCGTGTAAGCCAGGGACTGTTGGAGACCCTTACCTCGCCCCTGGCTGTGTCAGTCCTGAAGAGTGTTTGTCAGACGGTGATTGTGCAGACTCCCTGTCCTGTGTGCAAGCCCATTGCACAGACCCTTGCACTCTCACACAGTGTGCACAGACAGCTGTTTGCTCAGTACAAAACCATCATGCTTTGTGTTCTTGTCCTCCTAGTCACATCGGCGATCCCACCAATATTAAAGTCGGCTGCTTCAAGGTTGAATGTGTGGAAGATAATGAATGCCCTCTGGAAAAGTATTGCGACCAAAATAACAGATGTTCAAGTAAGTAGATATATGATCCTTGTTATTTTTGGGTAGGCTACATGGTCTTAAATTTAAAAAACGTTTTTTTTTTATGAGATTGTTGAAATTTGTATATTTCAAGTATATTCAGATAAAAACTACTTTTAACTAACATCTGCTGTTGTTTTTACAGATCCTTGTGATCTGGTGGACTGTGGTAGAGGCAGCTGCCTAGTGAACCAACACAAAGGTGTCTGCGCTTGTAACGAAGGCTACCAGTATATTGATGGTACTTGTCAAGACATTGACGAATGTCTCAATAGCCCATGCCATGAGACCGCCATGTAAGTTATTAGTATCTCTAAAATAGTACCCAAATTTTAATTTTACTCAATTGGATATGACCCTAAACTTTTTTACTCTTAGAAATTTCAGCATTGCACAATCAGACATTCTTGACTGGCATACAGCATGTTACTGAGTAACAATGTTCATCTAACATCATACATGGTATTGGACATACAAACTTAAGCTTGGGGTTGTACGTTGACCTGTGATATCCAACAGAATATTTTCAATATTTTGATTCATTAGGCGTATTGTTTCACAATCTATAATGTTTGTATACATAAATTGTTTATACGCATTAGGCTTAGCTAATAAAAAAAAGTATTTGCCACTAATGTTTACCACTGTTGTTTGCATGTGGTGACAGATGTCGCAACGTGCCAGGGACGTTCCAATGTGCCTGTCAGGAAGGTCTGGTTGGTGACCCAGTGACTAGTGGCTGTCGCAAGCCGGGTGACTGTGTCTCAGACTCTGACTGCCCCTCCAGTGCGGCTTGCATCAACAGTAGGTGCCGCAATCCCTGCGACACTCCCACAGCGTGCGGTATCAACGCAGAGTGTATGTCTGTCAACCATAGTCCTCAGTGCCGCTGCCCCTCTCACACCAGAGGAGACGCCAAGGTGCATACAAACTAAAAGGCTATTGTATAAAAATATTTCTATTTAGAACTATTTCTAAAGTAGAACCCACTGATAGTTTTTGCAATAGGGTCTAAGGATGAAAGCAGACTGTCACTTTTGTAACCTAATGATCAAGCGGGAACATTTTTATTAACTTAATTTTCTTTTTTGTCAAATGATTTATACCGCTTTGCAGCCAAGCTATTTTGAGTAAATAGTTATTTAGCGAGTTGATTTTTCAAGAGAGTTGATTGCTCAAGAGAGTTGATTTCTAAATAAAATTGATTTCTTTAATTGCTGTTTTCTTTCTTTTTCAATTTTGAGCATTTGAAGTTACATAGGCCTAGTTTGTTTTAGAAATTTAGTATATTGGAAATTAAAAAACATGAAGAAAAAGTAAGTTACATATAATGGTTATGTAAGTTACATTAAGCCAGGTGCTTACTAAGTGAAATGTGTGTCACCAGGTGGAGTGTGTCAGAGTGGAGTGTGAGGAGAACTCAGATTGTCCCAAGGCTCATGTGTGTGTCTCCAACACGTGTCGTGACCCATGTCAAGTGCCGGGTATCTGTGGGCCACACGCAGAATGTAATGCAGGACCCGGGCAAGGGCAGACCACATGTACCTGTGCTCCGGGACACACCGGTGACCCGGACCTGGGATGTGTGCAGATACAGTACTGCGCCGGTGACAATCAGTGTCCATCAGGAACCAGCTGTAGCAACGGCGTGTGTCTGTGTGAGTTTACAACTAATATAGAAACCTAATTTCATTCCAGTATAGCTTTTGGTAGGTATTTCAGTTGTTTTTACAATTTAAATATGGTGGCCTAAACATTAGTGCATTATATGTTTGGAGAAGGGAAATAAAACAGATCCCTTCAGTTGAGTTCTGCATTCCTTTGCAAGAAACCAACTAAAAAAACAAATGTCAGCCATAGGCACTCTAAGATGCCTGTTGTAAGCAAACAATGAAAGGAAATCATTCAAGAAAACGCTATATCACATTGAACTTCTACTCATTTATTAGAAAATTATTTAAATCTAGTGCACCTGTTGCTCGAATTCGAGCAGTTACCAACTATTACAGGTGTTATTTCAAAACAAATAACAGTCATAATTTAGGATGACTTAAAAAAGTCAACTGAAAGATAATGTAATCAATCACTCCACTCCAGTTATCGAAACTGAAAACGAAATCACTCTGAAAACCAACGATCTTGTGTGTATCATGTGTTTACCATTAACAGCTGTAATTAATACAAATTATCCGTCTGTTTAAATAAACAAAATATTTTCTTCATAAGAAATATATTGGGATTTTGATGGCCTGAGGGGCAAAGCCCGAGGACTTTTATTACAGAAATTGGCAAAAGGGGGTCTACACAAAAAATACTTAATTTTGAAACATCGTTTGTAAAAATCCGTCCATTATTAGTGGAGGAGTAGTGTTTCGTAGAAATCGCCTTCACGTATTATATATAAGGATGTTGATGAGCTTTGTGAATTTAAACCCTATTTGTTCTAACCATGAAAGATTTTCTACTCATTCCTATCTGAACAATTTTTTTATACCATTTATTTAAAAACAAATTCTATTTTGATCAGTAGAATCTAATGGTCTATACTTTCTGTTTCATATGTTTATTGAGTTTTTAAGCTGCGTTGTCCAAGGCGCGTCTGTTGCGTCTGACGCAGAGCGATGATCGCCGAGCGATGATCGCTGAGCGTCGATCGCTTAGAGGCCCGTTGTCCAAGAACGCGTCTATTCATTTCAACAGTTGGTTGCTGACTGTGTTAAAATTTATTTTGCTCTCACTATTAGCGTTAAGAGCCAAGTGTTGAAGGTCCTATTCATCAAAGAGATAGAAAACGAGGAAATACTGGACCTTAAGTGAACCTCGATTGTGTACCCACAATGTTTTCAAAAAGAGAAGTGAGGAAGGATATTTTATAATACTTATCAAAAACCACTGTAATGCAGACAAGAGTCTGTTAAGTGATTTTTTTTTACTTTTAATGGAAACAGTTTAAGTTCCGTTAAATCCTTGAAAGTTTAAGTTGTAATAATGTAATTTAATACTAATTTATTATTATTTTGAAATTTTTCTTTACTTAAATACAGATATCTCCTATTCTAAATAACTCCCAATATGTAATCCATAGCTAAAATAAAAGTCAATACTTTGGTGAATTATTTTAGACTTTAACTTTAATTTAATTTTGATTTAATTTTGTGTTTTTGTTCGTAGCGGGTCTCTAACTCGTCTGATTTTAATTATCAATAACTCAAATGGAAGCCCTTACATTACTGAATATTTTAATGTTGAAACGAACTGCAAGCGTTAATAAGAACTGGAGATATTTAAAAAAATAATAAAAGTACGAAACGTCTATTAAGAAATGTATGGGGGAGAGTTTTCGTTTGAATATCTTTAAAACAAAACAAAATAAAAACGGATTCCCGCATTGAAATTAGCATGAAAATCTAGTTTTGTAAATGACGTGTCACAAAACTATCATTACATAAAAACAATATGTATATCCAATATGGCGGATCCAAGATGGCGGCCATAAACGTGTTTCCTATCGAAATGAAGTACTAACCACCCAATAAATACTGGTGGTGATCTTAAGTCAATATCTCGAAAATGTGCATAACAAATGTATGTGGAATCATTTTTTATTATTTTTCCAATGTTGGGAAAAGCCACCATTTTTTATAATGATTTTAGGGGGTTTCCCATGGACCGATTTTTGGCAACCTTTAGTATATCACTCAGCATAGACTCAACATTACAAAATAAAATCCTAAAACATTATCTTGCAATCTTTTTAGGTCATATTCTATATTTCTTTGACTATAGCCATTACATTAAGATACTGTGTATTATGGAGTATACGGGAGAACACAGAAACAACAACGCAATAGACGCAATAGACGCTGGCCGTCAGCGATCCCGTCTGCTCCCGGAGCAGTGCCCCGCGTCAGACGCTCAGCGTCTCAAGCGTCAGACGCTAGAGACGCTCCCTTGGACAACGGGCCCATTGAAATCAATGCTTAGCAGTCACTGAGCGTCCATCGCTAGCGTCTATTAGTCAGCGTCAGACGCAACAGACGCGTTCTTGGACAACGGGCCTTTAGTTGGGAATGAATTGTCACTTTTTCCCAGTCTGCAATGCTACAGGCTTACCTCAGTTTGATTACAGCACTGTGTACAACTACCAGAGAATGTGTGGGTGACCAGATGTGCATAGAAGGAGTGTGCCAGCCGACATGTAAGAGCAACAACACCTGTCCTGACCTGCAGTATTGCCTCAATGGTATCTGTGTGCAAGAAGTACGATGTCGTAGCAACACAGACTGTGATCTCAGAGACGCTTGTCAACAAAACACTGTCGGACAGGTAATAGGTCATCAAATAATAATATTACACTAAATACAGTTTTATTGGACGCCAAGACATTAACTAGGCTCAGACTGGTATTCAAAAAAATCCCGAGACTTAAAAATACCCTTGCCGCAGCAAACCTGCAGATTAAGCGAATTTCCATTTACCTGGCTGGATTTCTACTAAAATATTCCCTGAAAATTGTCAGATTTATTTCCTATTTAAATAACATTAATTTTAATGAGTACCTAGGTTTGCTGCTACAAGGAAGGTGTGTTTTTTATTGAAATGTTGATAGCTTAGTATGAAAAAGTAAATCGGTTCCGGGTCTAGGGTTAGGTCTTACCATGAGACCTACGGTAATAGCTTATTCCCTATATGGGAAATTCGCTAAAAGACTAAGAAAATGATATAGAAATACAAAAAATTGTTTTATTGGAAATGCATAATCATACTTTCAACCACCCAGTTGTAGGCCAGCTTGTTCAGATGGTTTAAAAGATGCACTTTGAAATAAAGATATGTGCCTAACTACTGCAGATGTGAAAATAATACTGCAAATAATAGTAATACATTACTGGTTATTGTTGTTGTCCACTCAGGCGGAGTGCAAGTCCGTATGTGACGGAGCTCCATGTGGTCGAAATGCTGAGTGTACAGCAGTCAACCACCAGCCTAAGTGCACCTGCAAGCCAGGCTACCACGGCAACGCTCAGCTCGGCTGTCAGCGCATCGAGTGTCGCACAAACAATGACTGTTCCAATGACAAACTCTGTGAGGACTACATGTGCAAGATATCCTGTCTGGCTCACAACCCTTGTGGCCAGTACTCACTGTGCTCAGCGGAGAATCATAAACAGGTTAGGTCTAGGATTACTAATAGAATTAGTGAGTCCGATGTGTTTGAAGATAATTTAAACCAAACTCAAACCTTCTACTAGTTTGCAAGTAGTACTTAGCTTTTGACTTATTATATTAAATGCCATTACATTTTTATGACTATATTATTTGAATGTGTCAGGTGTGCTACTGCCAGCCTGGATACACTGGGGACCCTCAGCTAGGATGTACTTTGGTAGATTTCTGCTCCTCCTCACCATGTGGGCCAGGTGCTCACTGTGACAACTCACGAGGCTCGTACAAGTGTCTGTGCCCCCTGGGTACTGTAGGTGACCCGTACAAGGACGGCTGTAAACCTCCAGCTGAGTGTGACACTGACCAGGACTGTCCTCCCACTACCTCCTGTGTCCAGGACAATGGTGTGCCTAAGTGTAAAGGTCAGTACAAATTAAGTAGAATTTGTTTTTGTTACAACTTTGAAAATGTAAAGAATAAATTTTAATACAAAAATAAAGAATAAAGGGTACTCATAAAGGGTATTGTTTTGTATATATATATATATGCTTTAACAAGTAATTGATTGGAAAAGTAGAAAAGGTCTCATTGAGTATTAAATCATATGAATTTTTTTATTAAATCTTATTTACAAGACCATGCAGCTATTAAGTTATCATTAAGTGAATGAATCTATTTTCTATTACAGTATCAGATGATGGTAAAATGTTATGTCTGTTATAATATCTTGGAAAATTTTAATGGTCTGAGAACTCCCTATAGTGGGAAATGGATTTTTTAAAAAGCTGCTTCTAGGTAAGGTTTTGACATACCTGTAAGGAGCCTGTGCTTCTAATTTCATCGTCATCCCCATCAAACTTTAGGCTACATTAGCTACGGTACTGAGAAATCATGTGTACAAAAATGCCTTTACACTTTCATATACAGTAACAGAATAATTCATAAAATAACATGTTCCTTTGTTGTTGGTTCAGATGTGTGTGAGGGTGTGACATGTGGACCTCACGCAGACTGTGTAGCCAATGATCACACAAGCTCATGTCAGTGTGCGGCTGGATACCAAGGCGATGCTGGTGACTATAACATAGGCTGTCAACCAACACCAGTGCACTGTGACACCAGTAGTCAATGTCCTCAGAACACCTACTGCTACCACCAGACATGCAGACGTAAGTATCAAATCTGAAATTTAGTCAACTCATTTAGTGAATAAACAAGTCATTATCTTGGTCTGTACTACACTCCTGATAATCAATATTTAAGCAAGGTAAAACTTTTTATAGCAGAACCGCAGAATGGCTCAGATTAAAAAATCAGGTTTGATATACATAGATATACTTTACATCTGAATCTTACCAAATGGTGATACATACTCCTTTTAGGGTCAATTTAAGGGGTTTTCAACCTGTCAACCCTCTACTTGTTTAGGGCTGATAATATTTATATTCATATTTTATTTTTTACTATCTGCACTTTTACTGCACATTTATATATCTGTTATATATAAAATAAAATAACTGATATAATATTATAGTAGTATGAAATACATTAATTATAAATCAAACCCCTTTTAATTGGCTACAGTCTGATAGCATTTGTTGGTAAAATATTGAATAAACAAAAGGATAGATAAGGTATGTAGCTGCAGAGACTATAATGAGCCTCCCAACTGTTGCAGCTTGGTGCCAGTCAGACAGTGAGTGTGGCTTGACAGAGCAATGTGTACAAGGCCAGTGTGTCAACCCTTGTGAGAGTCGAGGAATTTGTGGCGTCAATGCTGAGTGTCGTATCTACAATCATGTCAAGCAGTGTAGTTGTCCTCCTGGCTTTACAGGCAATCATTCTGTGGAATGTGTCAGAAGTAAGTTTATTTTGGTGCTGTGTTTATTGACTAACAAGAATCTGACTGGTATATATCTCTTTGGATTATTCATATTTATTTAGTTTCTATTATTTGCATCTAGATACAGGTAAAACTCAACGGTTAAATTTTTAGTCAAAACTACAAATGAATGAACTATTTTTGTATTTTGTATGTAGGCTAATCATATAGTTCCAATAAAGTTAATTAAATTTAATTACAATTATTGTACTGTGAATAATTAGATACATTATGGATACATTAATCTCGTAATGGATAAAATTACTTAATTAGATACATTTAATCTGTTTTAGTTCCAATCTCTTGTTCGTCCACTGCTGATTGTCCCGAAGACAGCCACTGTGAGAACAGCATGTGTCGCCCTGTGTGTCAGGCTGATAATGATTTTGCATTTAATCTGTTTTAGTTCCAATCTCTTGTTCGTCCACTGCTGATTGTCCCGAAGACAGCCACTGTGAGAACAGCATGTGTCGTCCTGTGTGTCAGGCTGATAATGATTGTGCATTTAATGAAAAATGTCTCCAAGGAAGCTGCATATGTAAGTTTTAAAACTTAATTCTCAAAACGATATTAAAATATTGTAAAAAGTATAATATACAATCTAGTTTTATTATCTGAGCAATTCAAATTGTCAATAGTTTTTATTTACAACATACAAAGCCCTCACTAGTTTTTAGTACTATAAATACTGATTTAGTGACATTATTGTATTTTCACACAGAGCTATAAATCTTGTAGTTTTCACGTCGTGAGATTTTACGTTAATTAATATGATTTTGATTATATGTTCTCAAACTCCTGTAGTTAGCGAGACCGCTGTAGTCACAATGTGATACTTTTTTCAGTGACCTGTAGAGTTGACCATGATTGTTTCCTGGGCCACATCTGTCTCCACAACATGTGCATCTTCGGTTGCCACTCTGATGAAGATTGTTCAGCCAGTGAGACCTGTAGGGACAACAGGTGTACCAACCCTTGTGCCTTCAACCCTTGTGGACCCAACTCTGTGTGTGCCATCACCAACCATAGGGCTACCTGCTCCTGTCGTCAGGGGCTTGTACCCAATCCTTCTGCTCAGGTAAAATTCTACAATCTACAAGATTTTTCTATGAAAAGTAAATATATTTAATCAATATTACCAAAATTGTTGGTAAAGCTCACTGTGACAATTCATTTATTTTATTCACTCTTTATAATTAGTTTACCGTATTACAATTTATACGCATCTTGAACTTGGAATGTAATATGTTCATTGATCAGTGACCTTTTTCAAGAGTACTAGTAGGTAAATATTCAGTATTTTGTGTATGTCTACTTAAAGATTAGTAGTATCCCAAGTATGTCAATAAAAAAATTAAAACTCATTTAGCAAATTTGACCTCAGGTCGCTTGTGTCAGAGCTCCAGCACCTCCTTGTTCAGAGAATCGTGACTGCGGAGACGGATACTGGTGCCAGGTAAATACCCTAGACACTTTTAAAAATTACAAGTTAATAGTTAAGTGAGTATATGTAGATGCTTAAGTTCCTAAAAAAACCTTTACCACTCTTTACCTATGTGAGTTATATCAGTTACCACTCACTATCTATGTGAGTTATATCAGTTACCACTCACTATCTATGTGAGTTACATCAGTGTCAACTCACTATCTATGTGAGTTATATCAGTTACCACTCACTATCTATGTTAGCTATACCACTTACCACTCTCTATCCGTGTGAGTTGACCGTCTATGTGATGTGGCAGGATGCAGTGTGTCGTCCAGTCTGTTCCTCTGCTGTCAACTGTCTGAGCCACGAGCAGTGTGACACAGTCACAGGCGTGTGTAAGCCTCTATGTCGCAAAGATGACGACTGTCGTAGTGGAGAGGTCTGTGAGAACCTCATGTGTGCAGTCGGATGTCGCAGCGACAACAGCTGCCCTCTGGACAAAGCTTGTGTCAACAGCAAATGTATAGGTCAGTTCAATTTACTCATTCTAACGTAATATCATGCCCTGATATAAACAAAACTCTTTTAGATATAGGCCTACTCTTTAATCAACGATGTTAGTGTTACAATTAATTATTCAAATAATATTTTTGTGGATATTACATAATGCTTTAGATTTTATAGTCTTTAAAAATACAATAGTATATGATAGTTATTGTGCAAGGCTTGTCGAACGCAAAATTCATGTGAGTACTGTAAACACCCTCCTGGATGAGTTGGGTACTTTCCACATCACTCAGCAATAAATATACAGGGCAAGTAAAACATAACATACCATCAAAACAATGTGGCTTTTTTGAGAGCCTACTGAAGAACTATTACCTTTTTGTAAGAGTAATAATTTTAGGACTACGGAGAAAAAAAAACTAAAATAAAAATTCCCAGGTCTAACAGCATATACCAACATTATACTAACAGCATAAAGAGTAGGCTAACACTAGTTACCATATAGCCAATTAATAAAGAAAAATAATGTTGAGGTATACTTTATAGGCCTGCTGTACCACCCTCCATTATTCAAAAGAAACTGATTCAAATCCTGCCAAACACCGATGGCTTTTAACTTTGTGATAATGACATGATCCACTGATTTAAAGCCAACCTTAATCTGTAGAAAACCACCCATATAGAAAACATGAAATAAACAGATTAGGTCTTACAGGAAGAAAGATATTTCTTCATACTGAAGATACCTCACCTAAAAGCTACACGATAATGTTATTACTTTTAGAGTTAATTAATATCTTGTTGCGGTTTCTTTGTTCTACTATTTTCAACCATGGTTAAACCATCTAACTGGCTAAACCAATATATTTTTCTGTTGGCTATAACATGTTAAGGTATTTTGTAAATGTTTAGCACCTGATGATTCTAATTTGTTTGATGTTTATGCTAGATTTATGTGCTTCACCTACTGCGTGTGGAACCAATGCTGCTTGTATCATGCATAACCACCAGAAGCAATGCACTTGTCCTCCGCCACTGTTGGGCAACGCAGACGTAGGCTGTCATCACATGATCTCTCCCTGCGTGGACAACCAAGACTGTGAGGCTACTCAGTCCTGTTATGCACTTACATGCACCTCACGCTGCCAAACGTGAGTTACCAACAATGCTAGACACTTTATCAGTCTATATTACCCGAAAAACTTCTACATGGTCAATATACTAATGAAGTAGATATCCCATCTATACGCACCAACCATGGCCAATTTCTTTATTAAAAAAGAACATAGTTCTGTGAGCCAGTCACAGATTGTGCTAGTGTCTTAAATTATATTTTCTATTTTATTCTATGTCACTGAGATAGTTGATGTGACATAAAAGGTGCAATAGATTTCAATAAGTTGTCCTATTAGATTGTAACGTCTGCATGTTTGACTGAAATCAGTCATTTACATCAGCACAATCTAATAGGACACACACATCACACAATCTGGTGATTTTCAATTTGATGTTACGAAAAACTGTATTTGTTAGAAGAACATGGTATTTATATGTAAGGAAGAATATGTTATTTCACCAGCAGAAAACTATGTGGCTCAACTAATTGTATTTTTTTGTGTGCAAATTTGACTTGTACTAAAAGTAAAATACTTGAACAGTACTTGAGTATTCACTAAACCCTAGGTGTCCTCTGGGCACTCTGACTTGCTCAAATGACCCTATTCGCAAACATTGGTGGCCTATTTATTAGCCATATTTGCTACTAAGTTCAAAACAAATAAATAGCCGGTAAAATCTAACCACGCATAACCAACCTAACTTGACTAATTATTACGGAAGGGAATGTCAAACAACATGTAGTTTGTTATCTACTTTATCATTATAACCTTTTGTTGGCAGGGACTTCAACTGTCTGTCAGATGAGCGCTGTGTGCAGGGAGTGTGTGTGAGGGTCTGCAACTCTGACGCCAAGTGTGGCAACCACCAGATATGTGAGGGAAGACTGTGCGTGCCAGGGTGTCGCAGTGACAACGCTTGTCCTGACACTCAAGCCTGCATCAACAAGCAGTGCAGAGGTAACAAAACTGCTACCTTTACAACATGAACATAATCTCATTTTTGATACATTGATTGTTGCTGATTTATCACAGCATCTCAATTTTATATTGATATATTGCAACTCATTATACAGATCCATGCGACGGTGCCACAACTTGTGGGTCATGCGCTTTGTGCCGAGTGGTCAACCATGGAGTACAGTGTAGCTGCCCGACCGGTACCATCGGCAACCCTCAGATCACATGTGTCAAGCGACCCAGTCGCTGCGACGGCAACTGTGCCTGTGATGAGGCCACAGGCTTCTGTAGGGTGGCCTGTACGGCTAATCGAGACTGTTCTTGTGGTGAAGTTTGCACCAGTGGTGTATGTAGTATGAAGTGCTCCACCAGCATTGCATGCCCGCAGGTAAAGTTATTCTTCAACATGTGTTTATTTCAATTAATTAAATCACTACACCTTATTTCTTCTATTTGACCATTATCTTTAAACCTACATTAAATTTGAAATGTACAAGTAAGTATAAGGTCCTTGATGATTGGTAACATTTCAGGGTTTCATCTGTGAAGACGGAGCGTGTCAGAGTGGTTGCCGCATGGCCAGTGACTGTCCAATGTCCAAGGCATGTTTCTCTGGCCGCTGTGAAGACCCTTGCAACTCTACCAACCCTCCTTGTGGTACCAACGCGTTGTGTCGTGTATCCGAACATCGACCTGTTTGTTTGTGTCCAGAAGGCTTTCAGGGAGAGCCCAGTCGTTCTTGTATCAAAGCTCTTTGCACCTCTAATGATGATTGTGAACCAAGGTAGGTGTAAAACTTTTACTTAGTCATGGTGGTGAAAATACTAGTAAACTGAAAATAATATTAAACAGTTATAGTTGTTTACGTAAAGATCACGTAAAGATTTTCTTTAAGACACTAGTAGAAAATATACTTTACCTACGACCATTTTTAATTACTAACAATCCCTACTCATAACGTCTAAGAGAAGTTATGTTTTCGCTTATAACCTCTCATTGCTACTGATTGTGATGCAACGACTCATTGTCCCAACCACTCACTCATTGTATAAAATATTAAATTGGCCTTAACAGCTGATAAGTTGACGTCCTAAGCATTACAATTTTACTTATTTCTCTCCATCCTTCAACTCTAAGAACTGAATTAAAAAGGCTAGTTTGAAAAACGGTCATAGGCAAAATATATTTCACAGCAATTTAGCCATTGTTTACAATACCATCTTTAAATTACCAAATATTGTTGAACTCTTGTAGTTAGACTCTTGTTACATTGCAGCCAACACTGTGGACCAGACGGTGCCTGTCGTAACCCGTGTCTGGAGGCTGGAGTGTGTGGAGCCAACGCTCAGTGTAAAGTGCTGGCCAAGCGACCCCACTGCTCATGTCCTCCAGGATTTGTAGGCAACCCGCAGGTCGAGTGCAAACAAGGTAAATATCATTGCACGATGCACATGTCACTGTGACATACAGTGTAAAAGTTCTATGACAGAAATAAAAATCGGGATGAATCTCCATGACGACAAAACACTAGTTGTTCAAAATTTAAATCTGTACTTAGAGTGGTGCAGGGAAGTATCCCTAATTTTTATTTTTAAGGTTAGTTGAAAGACAGCCAAAAATGTTGGAACTAAACTTTTTATTGGGATCAAAAGGTTACATCTGGGAGTCTTAATATAAATGTATTATTATGTTTTAAATTTTTTTTTAATGGTGTCCCTCCCTGTTGATATACTGCTGTAGCCTGGCTCTGAAGTTCATGGTAACGCTATGAAGCATTTGTTATAGAGTGGTGTGGCCAGATTCAAGGTGAATTGCATCCCTCAAGGCATCTAGGGTCCTCTCGTGAACTACCATCACTCCAATAACCCATATTCTGCTTATTTACCAAATATGGAAGAGTGCCTCTTCACTAAAAAAACAATTATGAGGCAGGTCTGCAATTAAGGTTTCACATACCTGAATTCGTTGTTGCCAGTCCCAGTGTGTGAGCTCATGAGCAACTAGCATCTTGTATGATGGTGGATGTGTAGGTTCCTCATGGAGAATATGGCGCACAGTATGATTAGACAAGGCCAGTGCAGATGCATGCTTAACACGTTCGCTGCTGCCCATCAAATGGCAGGCGTAGCTCCAGTGCGGCACAGCCCGCAGCGTCGAACAAACCCGATTGCCGGGCTATTGGCTTTCATATTTCGGTATGACGAATATCAAATAACGTGTGGTGATGTCCTGTTTCATGACAAGAGTCCACGTAGTTTGCTAAACACCCACAGTAGATGCCATTATTTTACAATAAAACAAAATTAATATAGCACAAAATTACAGTTAACAAACGCAATGAGTGAGTCAAAATCCACCAGGTATAGTTTCGGAACGAGTAACGATGATTACAAATGGATTGCACCACAAAACTGCCACTGTCATACACGAATCACGGACAAAAATACTCCGACCTACACCGGAGTGCGGCTGCACTCAAACGGAATAAGTTTGGCGGGTGCACATTACCGCCCGCGAACGTGTTAAGAGCAGAACATTGAGGAGAATGCAAAATTGATCCCCTTATAAGGTCAATGTTTTCTGGAGCTAGAAAGGTTCTGTAATCCCCAACTCTCATTTGTAATACAATCACATTCACAGAAATCCTATACCCACAACATAATGGATTTGCGATTTGGAACAGCTTTGCAGCAGATGATCCAATAACGAGTTCGCAGTGCAAGTGCACAGCAGCAATAGACGGATATTTTGAAAAATATGTCTTGACTGCAAAAGCACATTGCTAACTTGACCATCCCATGTCTACTTCTGATCTTGATCCCAAATCCCAAAAGCAACAGCATCATTTGAGCCTACCCCTACTCGTCCAGAACATCATCACTACTCACACTGTCATCTTAAAAGTACGGATATTTCCATGTTCCTCCCTTTATATAAAGGCTGTCCACGAACTACTGTAGCAGCAAAACCTAGGTAGTTTTTAAACCAAATTAGTAATTAATTAAATGGGAATAAATTAGAAACAAAAATGTAATTAGACTAATGGAAATTCACCAAGCCTGCAGGTTTGCTGCTGTGAGGTATTCTTAACAAAAGATTGATGTGCACCAGTATTTTAGCATTAGTAAATACAGCATTGTTCAACATTTAGGAGTACATCACATGTACCGATTGTTTAAAATGGAAATGATTGACTATTGATTGCCAACAGGAGGTGAGAGTTGTGCTAGGAGCCCTTGTGGAGAGAACACTCAGTGCCGTAACATTGTCGGAGGAGTAGAGTGTTCGTGTCTCCCTGGATGTACTGGTGACCCACACCAAGGCTGTGCGTGTCATCGCACTAGTGGAACGACATGTCAGGACTTGCGATGTGGCATCAATGCCGCGTGCAGACTTCAAGACAACCTGCCTACCTGCTACTGCCCTACCAAGTACCCCCTCGGCGATCCTCTCACCCAATGTGAGTATACAACACAGCGAGACTGTATATGATTCTGAATCTTATAATTTAACCAACATCTCATTAACTTGTTCATTCTCCAATTAATGTATCAATAGTAAATACAGTAATCTGGGGGTATCGCAAGATTTTTAAAATAACTTCTATAACCATATACAGCCCTACTGTAATTATTTAAAAATCAAGTAACAAGATATGTTATAAAATATAACCCTATACCAGAAAACTACCCCAATAAAAATTACATTAATTTAATATATGAAACTTAATAACCACCAATTACAACTTTTGAGACTTTTTATTCCTAATGAGAAACTATCATGCTAAATTGTTTTTGTTTTTACTTGATAAGTCATACATATATGCTTACAATTGTTGCATTCCTGCATTGTTTTAAAATTCTAATAACTCATTTCAATGACTGGTTCAAAGTTTAAATTGAGTTTCAAAATTGTGTTATTTTAAATAGCTTGATAGTAAATTTCAAAATAGGGCTAGTGTTGGCTATGTATTTTCATGAGTGAAAATGTTCATAAACTTTACATTGCAAGCTTAGCCATATAAAAACACCTCCAATTAGCAAATGGATGGATTAGTCCAGGAGTAGTCACATCATGGTGTATTTCCGGGTGTTTACCCACAAATTGCGGGGTTTGGTTTTTATGACGTCGTAAATCCAAGATGACCGCCATGTGTGACATGTATTCATTAAATTAATAATAACTCTTTCCAGAGTAAAATAATCGGATTTTAGTTTACACCATTGAATTAAGCTAAAAAAATAAATAAATAAAAAAACAAATGATTGGTGTTTTGAATCATTGCTCTATGACCATTGGTTACCGAGATATTGAAGGCGGAAAACACACAACATTGTCCCCATGTTATCATTATGGGGAAAAAATAAAATTGTATATCTAGCTTATCACTCTGCATATCTTAATAATATTTGGTATGTGGCTTCATTTAGTAGAGATCTACTTGATTATGGACTAAAATCCCCCATTTTGACATTTTCGTGGCAGCAAACCTGCATACTAACTTCCTATGTTACTCTTATGGTCAATATTTTTGCATGCTTGTTCATGAACATACTTTGAGAAATGATGATGTGGGGCTCCATTTTAATTATTTATTGAAGCATTTGCAATTAGTTGAGTATGCAGGTTTGCTGCCACGGAAATGTAAAAATGGGGGATTTTAGGCCATAATGAAGTACATCTCTACTAAATGAAGCCACATACCAATTATTATTCAGATATGCTGGTTATGAGGTTAATATAACCATAATTAATAACAAATAAAACCAAATTTAATTTCTCATATTTTACTTGACATTATTTTGCAACATACCTATTTTGTCATTTGTAACTGTAAGTGAGGAAGGATTAATTATTAGTTCATTAGATATTTCTTTGGGAAACGTTGTACTTAAATACATGTTGCACATCTTGTCTTTAAAAGTTCTTTTTCATTAAATTAGTTGATAGTTGGAAATCAATGATCATTCCCAGCTGTTCCTGATCATTGGGCTTTAAATAAATGATCCTGGCTAATGAAACAGCTGATCTTAGTCAGTAACAAAGCTACACAGACCATCTCACACCATTCTACACTCACCCTTCATTTATATTTGGGTTAAAATACGCACATAAGTGGTGTCCCCATCTTAATGATTGATAATAAATAATTGATAATGTAGACCTAAAACCTAAGTCAACATCAGAATAACGTCATCACAGCTGTTCTATAGCTTTGTTTATTTGAACATGTCGAATCTAATTTTGTCACTTGAGGGATGACTGTATAACTTTTTTTTGTATCTGATTCATTTGCCAGAATAAACTTAAAACTTTTATTTTTCCTCAGGTTCTGCACCGATTTTGCCCAAAGACTGTCGCACTCGAGGATGTGGCCAGTACGCCGAGTGTGTTGCCGCTGGTGACAGTTTTGTTTGTCAGTGTCCGAGTGGCATGGTTGGTAACCCAGAAATTGAGTGTAATCCAGGTAAGTCAATCACCATTGGTTTGCTGCTAAGATCAGAGGGTGCTATAGAAGCGCAAGTACTGATTACCTCACTACTAATTCTTCCAAATTTTCATAACCAAGTTTATTAATCTGTTTTAGTGACAACTTAAGAGAACAATAACAATTTTTCAATACAATTATAGCAACCTAAATTTGTTAACAACAAAACATTCGGTCCGAGGTGATGTGTCAAATAATTGCTTGATCAAACTTAAGAAATCAAAGTGGATTAGGGTCAGTTAAATCCGCAATATTTATCAGAGCATTCTTGTTGTTTGATTACGTAGTGATGTATCCGTATTTGTGTTTGTAAAAAGCATGCTTAGGCCTAAATTACACTGTAAAATATTGCTGTATTTAACACTGATGTGGGCTCTTGTATATATTGTACATGACATATTCATAGCCTTGTTGCTTCAACATGTGGAATGTCATACAGTCCCAATCTGCCTTGAAGGGAAAGTCGGGTAACTCACACCGCCCTAACGTCATTATTTATCTTTTTGTGGGACAGACAAGATGAAACGTTATTTTTTTTATCGTCTAAAGCTAGGTGTTAATGTCTAAGTTTTATAACTACTAAATTAATTAATTTGACTATACACTGTTGTTTTAGACAAAACTGCCTATTACTTTATAAATTTACCTTTTTCTCAATTTCATACATTTAAAAATGTTATATTTCTTTCTCTAAGACTTTAAAACTGTATCCAAAGAGCCCCTTTGGTGTGAACCTTAAAATTTTCATTGTTACTCTTTATTTCATAGTTAAACTTTAAGATCTAAAAAGTCAGATTGGGAACTGTGAAAGGGAACATTCTCACAATTATACCCTTTCCTTTGTGTAATCAATTGGGCCTGTCACTATCTGAGTGGTATTCACTATTTTGATGTACAGCTTCTTCTAAAACTCTATCTGGAGCATGATTGTGAGAAATATTTCACTTTCACAGTTCTTCCAATCACTGTTCTCTCTATCATACCCTTGTATATTTTACCCTGTGCACTGTTTGCACCCCAGAGAGTGTTTGCGTCGCAGACTCAGACTGCCCCAATGAGAAGGCTTGCATCAATAGACAGTGCCTGGACGTGTGTAGTGTGAGGGGGGTGTGTGGGGACAATGCCCTGTGTCAGCCAGTAGAACACAAGCCGAGATGTACGTGCCCCGAATGTCACACCGGGTCACCAGATATTTCCTGCCAACTAGATCCCAAGTGTGATGCCAGAGTGACTGTCCCAATACCGTGTTCATCTGATTCAGACTGTCCCTCCACTATGGCCTGCTTCTCTGGCAACTGCAGAAATCCTTGCTTCATGGCAGCTCTAAAGTGTGATATCAACAAGAAATGTGAAGTCAGACTTCATAAACCGATGTGTGTTTGTAAGTACGGATTCTCTGTCAGTGAAACGGGTGAACTCAGTTGTGCTCCTGACATTTTAGAATGCAGCTTCGATGATCAGTGCGCTTCAAATCTAGCTTGTATCAAGAGGAAATGTGTGAGCCCTTGTACGTCCCAGTCTTGTCCTGTAGAGAAGACTTGTGAAGTGGTCAACCATAGGCCTGTGTGTCTGTGCACCAAAGACTGCAACCCCATACTGTCCATCTGCCTCAGGGACAACGGCTGCCCCCCACAACACACTTGTTCCAATTTCCGATGTGTCGACCCCTGCTTGAACATTACCTGCCCACAAGATGCCCCTTGTTTTGTTGAAGATCACAAGCCTGTCTGCAAGTTCTGTCCGTCCGGATTTACTTCAGATCCAAAATATGGATGTTTGAAAGGTAAACGCTCCCAACCGTCAAATTTTAATTGATGAATTATAAAGTTGTCATCACCCCCTCAACAGAAATAATACAGTATTACAACAGGTTTTCTAAACATTTTATAAAATGCCGGCTGCAAAACAGTGCACCAAAATCTCTTTTTATCTTGTGGAAAACTTAATTCTTGTCTATTACTTCATTGTCTGTCTCACTTCTAAAACTTCTCTATTACCTTACCAATGTAAATAGTTTTTTTTATTAACAGTTAAGATAATTGTGTAACAATACAGAGAATCAAATGCATGTTTTTTTTTTACTACTGTATATCCTTAATTTAACAATACAAATTTACTACATTTTGTGTGGTTTTCATTCACAAACATATTTTTTTACATAGAAACAAACAGCATGTATTCACTGCAAATCTACCAATTAAAATACATACATGTATTTCATTTAGTGGTTAATTGAACCAAGAGTACAGTAAATAATCTAAAAAAAAAATTGTTTATGTTATTTTGTAAAAAAAGATTTTCCATGCAGTTGACTCTCATATTAATGTGTATATATTGTGGTGTTATCATCAGCATTTAACAAGTCATCTTGATCTCACTGTCATTTTCATCCGTCATCTCTAGTAGCTAGTATTGTAAATATTTGTTTTGCTATTTGTATATATTATGTTTGTATATACATGATTTCACAGAAACTAAAGTGGTCTGCACTGAGGATAAGGAGTGCACTGAAACACAAGCCTGCATTGGCGGCGTATGCAAGCACCAATGCACCAACAAAACCTGCGGTCTTAATGCTAAGTGTGAAACACAAGCAAACACTACAATATGCTTTTGTCCTCCCCTTTATACTGGAAACCCCTATAGTAAATGCTATTTATATTCAAGTATACCTATTGAAAATAATACTGAAAATTACCAAATTGAAGGGGTCACCCAACTTTCCCACATAAAAGATCCAGAAACAAACAACAAAGAGGGTATAATGAAAACAAAAGAATTACAACAAGATGTTACTGAGAATTTGTTTGCCTATAGAACAGTTTCCAATACAATAGACGTAGTGACAGATAAACCAGATAATGAAGCAACATATATAATATCATCGGAAAAGCCAAGAACGTCATCAATGAAAACTATGAATAAATTAACGACAATGAGAGGTTCTGACATAGAACCAGGCAAAACAACAACGGAATATTACTCTTCAGTATATGATATATCAATTACAAAGGCAATAACACCAAACAAAGATGTAACAACCACTAATTTAAATGATGAAAGTGAGCTAACCACCGCGAACGATATGTATGTAAAATCAAACAAGACCTATGAATTCCCTACTACAGTGAGACACAAAGTCTCATTAGAAGATACAACGGTAGCATCTACAACAAATAAACCAGAATCACTAGAAACAACATTCATTTTTCCATCACAAAAGACTGTCGATTCAACAATGCCAACAACAAAGGATTCTAGTGCAGAACCTACTACTTTATACAGAATAACTGCTAATAAAGATACAACTGAAACATACAAACTTTACTCAACAACAGTTGTTGATAAAGATAGTACTTCATCTAGCAGATTACCCGAAACCAAACCTACTACTGATAAGTATATTCCAACTGTAGAAAGTGATAAGCCGACTACAACAACGATTGGTTACAACACTATGACTGGTGAAGAAGACCTGGATCTAAGGACATTGATACCAGGCGAGGTACTTACAGAAAGAACTACTGAATATCACTCTACATTGTCATCAGATATTGAAAAGATACCAACCACTAGCTCTATTGGAACACAGTATCCTGCAGAAATTACTGAAGGAACACTTGAAAATTTTACCGAGGCAAATCAAGGTCGAAATACATACACTACGGAAAGTGAGGAATATACTTCAACAGAAAAGGTCCCACAAACCACAAAAATGCCTGTTGATAAAACAGTTGTTGATAAAGATAGTACATCATCTAGCAGATTACCTGAAACCAAACCTACTACTGATAAGTATATTCCAACTGTAGAAAGTGATAAGCCAACTACAACAACGATTGGTTACAACACTATGACTGGTGAAGAAGACCTGGATCTAAGGACATTGATACCAGGCGAGGTACTTACAGAAAGAACTACTGAATATCACTCTACATTGTCATCAGATATTGAAAAGATACCAACCACTAGCTCTATTGGAACACAGTATCCTACAGAAATTACTGAAGGAACACTTGAAAATTTTACCGAAGCAAATCAAGGTCGAAATACGTACACTACGCAAAGTGAGGAATATACTTCTACAGAAGAGGTCCCACCAACCACAAAAATGCCTGAGAAAAGCACAGTATCTGATGAAGTTCATGAAAGTACTTTTGTTTATGATATACCTATTACTAAGGCAAAAACGCCAAAAGAAGGTTTACCAACAACTTCTTTGGAACAGAATAATGAATTTACTACCAACAATGATATGTATGTAACTTTAAGGAAGACTTATGAATCCCCTACTACGTTGAGGGACAAAGTCTCATTAGAAGATAAAACAGTAGCTACTATAACAAATAAACCAGAATCACTAGAAAAAACGTATATTTTGCCATCACAAAAGCCAGAAGAATTAACAATGCCTACAACACAGGATTCTAGTACAGGACCTACTACTTTATACAGAACAACTGCTAATAATGATACAACTCAAACATACCCTCTTTATTCAACAACAGTTGTTGATAAAGATAGTACTTCATCTAGCAGATTACTTGAAACCAAACCTACTACTGATAAGTATATTCTAACTGTAGAAAGTGATAAGCCAACTACAACAACGATTGGTCACAACACTATGACTGGTGAAGAAGACCTGGATCTAAGGACATTAATACCAGGCGAGTTAGTTACAGAAAGAACTACTGAATATCACTCTACATTGTCATCAGATATTGAAAAAATACCAATCACTAGCTCTTTTGGAACACAGTATCCTACAGAAATTACTGAAGGAACACTTGAAATTGTTACCGAGGAAAATCAAGGTCGAAATACATACACTACGGAAAGTGAAGAATATACTTCTACAGGAAAGATCCCACAAACCACAAAAAAGCCTGAGAAAAGCACATTATCTGCTGAAGTTCATGAAAGTACTTTTGTTTATGATATACCTATTACTAAGGCAACAACGCCAATAGAAGGTTTACCAACAACTACTTTGGAACAGAATAATGAATTTATTACCAACAATGATATGTATGTAACTTTAAGGACGACTTATGAATCCCCTACTACGTTGAGGGACAAAGTCTCATTAGAAGATAAAACAGTAGCTACTACAACAAATAAACCAGAATCACTAGGAACAACATATATTTTGCCATCACAAAACCCGGAAGACTCAACAATGCCTACAACACAGGATTCTAGTACAGAACCTACTACTTTATACAGAACAACTGCTAATAATGACACAACTCAAACATACCCTCTTTACTCAACAACAGTTGTTGATAAAGATAGTACTTCATCTAGCAGATTACTTGAAACCAAACCTACTACTGATAAGTATATTCTAACTGTAGAAAGTGATAAGCCAACTACAACAACGATTGGTCACAACACTATGACTGGTGAAGAAGACCTGGATCTAAGGACATTAATACCAGGCGAGTTAGTTACAGAAAGAACTACTGAATATCACTCTACATTGTCATCAGATATTGAAAAAATACCAATCACTAGCTCTGTTGGAACACAGTATCCTACAGAAATTATTGAAGGAACATTTGAAAATGTTACCGAGGCAAATCAAGGTCGAAATACATACACTACGGATAGTGAGGAATATACTTCTACAGAAAAGGTACCACAAACCACAAAAAAGCCTGAGAAAAGCACATTATCTGCTGAAGTTCATGAAAGTACTTTTGTTTATGATATACCTATTACTAAGGCAACAACGCCAATAGAAGGTTTACCAACAACTACTTTGGAACAGAATAATGAATTTATTACCAACAATGATATGTATGTAACTTTAAGGACGACTTATGAATCCCCTACTACGTTGAGGGACAAAGTCTCATTAGAAGATAAAACAGTAGCTACTACAACAAATAAACCAGAATCACTAGGAACAACATATATTTTGCCATCACAAAACCCGGAAGACTCAACAATGCCTACAACACAGGATTCTAGTACAGAACCTACTACTTTATACAGAACAACTGCTAATAATGACACAACTCAAACATACCCTCTTTACTCAACAACAGTTGTTGATAAAGATAGTACTTCATCTAGCAGATTACCTGAAACCAAACCTACTACTGATAAGTATATTCCAACTGTAGAAAGTGATAAGCCAACTACAACAACGATTGGTCACAACACTATGACTGGTGAAGAAGACCTGGATCTAAGGACATTAATACCAGGCGAGTTAGTTACAGAAAGAACTACTGAATATCACTCTACATTGTCATCAGATATTGAAAAAATACCAATAACTAGCTCTTTTGGAACACAGTATCCTACAGAAATTACTGAAGGAACACTTGAAAATTTTACCGAGGCAAATCAAGGTCGAAATACATACACTACGGAAAGTGAGGAACATATTTCTACAGAAAAGGTCCCACAAACCACAAAAAAGCCTGAGAAAAGCACAGTATCTGCTGAAGTTCATGAAAGTACTTTTGTTTATGATATACCTATTACTAAGGCAACAACGCCAATAGAAGGTTTACCAACAACTACTTTGGAAGAGAATAATGAATTTACTACCAACAATGATATGTATGTAACTTCAAGGAAGACTTATGAATCCCCTACAACCTTGAGGGACAAAGTCTCATTAGAAGATAAAACAGTAGCTACTACAACAAATAAACCAGAATCACTAGAAACAACATATATTTTGCCATCACAATACCTAGAAGACTCAACAATGCCTACAACACAGGATTCTAGTACAGAACCTACTACTTTATACAGAACAAC